ACTCCAGGGACAGGCGCATAACCATTTGCCTCAGAAGCATAGTTTTTCTCATTCCAGTATCCTTAATTTCACCAAAGACAATCATAATAAAGTCCAACGTACATCTCAGTCTTGTTAAACATGGCTTAATGACTTGCATAATGTGCAACCGGAAGTGACTAACCGTTTAGTTCCTTTAAGACATACTGTGCCAGAACTTTTCCAATAAAGAATCTCAAATTAGACTTCATAGAAGCTCCTCCCCCCGGACTAGCAAGGCACGCCAAGGAATCGCTGCCAGGCTTCACCTGTGGCATCTAGGTGAACCTTTTGTTTCTTGAGGTTCTGGGTAACTTGAGGTCCCTGAGCCTGTTCATTCTTTGCTCTCTGCAAGGCCAGGACCCCTGTAAAGGAAGCCTGGTTCCAAGCCACTTCTCCCAAGGGCTATTTGTGACTTCATTAAGTCAGTCCTCACATCCTCAAAGTGGTCTGGTGGAGCCTGGCAACATTCCATCTCGGGCAAAGCTTAGTAATGGCCACTATCGCCCATTGCATCCTGTTACCAAGAGAACAGATCCCTACTGAATTGATGCAAACAACAACATTGTTATCAGATGATGAATACTCACAAGTAGTTTTGAATTCTGAGAGTCATATGGAGAGAACAATAAACACTTCAATTCTGTGGGAACAAAGTGGCTTTACCCTACTGATGGGAGCCACAGTTGGACTCAAAGTGGGCTCAAGTCCCTGCTGCTCCATTTCCCATCGAACACCCTGCTAGTGGCCCTGGAAAAGCAGTAGAAGATTGTCCGAGTGTTTGGGCCCCTACCACCCACATAGGTCCCTGGATGAAGCTCCTGGCTCCCAGCTTCAGCCAGGTCCAGCATTATTGCAACCATTTGGGGAGTGGCCCAGCAGATGGAAGACAGGTCTTTCTGTGTCTCTTTCTCTTCTTCTCTCTCTATATAATTCTACCTTTCAAATAATTTTTTAAAAAAGATCTATCCATCTTTATTGGAAAGACAGATATATACAGAGAGAAGGAGAGACAGAGAAAAGGATCCCCTCTACCTGCTGGCCCACTCCCCACGTGGCCACAATGGCCAGAGCTGAGCATAACCAAAGACAGGAGCCAGGAGCCATCTTTGGGTCTCCTACATGGGTGCAGGGTCCCAAGGCTTTGGGCTATCTTTGACCACCTTTCGAGGCCACAAGCAGAGAGCTGGAAGGAAAGTGGAGCAGCTGGGACACTAACCAGTGCCCATATGGGATCCCGGTGTACGCAAAGCGAAGACCCAAGCCATAATATAATATAATATAATATAATATAATATAATATAATATAATATAATATGATATGATATGATATGATATGATATGATATGATATAATATATATACCAGGCAACAAATTGCTAGCTAAAATGGAAATCCAAAAATTTCTCTGGTCTGAATTTAAAATTCTTTGTCTTTGAAATGCCTTAATAAACAGATTTCTTTCTGGATATGTAGTTCTATTTAGCTCAGGAAAGAAGTTAGTGTAAAGAAATAAACAGAAACTAGAGTAAGCAAAGTCTCTATTATGTTCTGAATGCAAATTAAGATTATAAACCTCTGCATACCTGCACATGGCTAAGGCAACTCTTGGCAGGAGGGAAAAGATTCCGGCAGAGAGCATTTCAAAGCCAAAAGTCGCACAGACCAGAACAAGTTCTTTCTTACAAATATTTCTTTCCTCAAAGCAAATTAGCCAAGGAAATGGAGCTGTTGTGCATGAAGGGAGTTTGTTTGTTTTGTTTTGTTTTGTTGTTTTTTAAAGATTTATTTATTTTTATTGCAAAGTCAGATATACAGAGAAGAGGAGAGACAGGGAGAAAGATCTTCTGTCCAATGATTCATTCCCCAAGTGACTTTAACGGCTGGTATTGTGCCAATCCAAAGCCAAGAGCCTGGAACCTCCTCCAGTTCTCTCATGTGGGTTCAGGGTCCCAAGGCTTTGGGCCGTCTTCGACTGCCTTCCCAGGCCACAAGCAGGGAGCTGGATAGGAAGTGGGGCTGCTGGGATTAGAACCGGCGCCCATTCACTTGGGGAGTGAATCATCAGACGGAAGATCTTCCTCTCTGTCTCTCCTCCTCTCTGTATATCTGACCTTGCAATAAAAATAAATAAATCTTAAAAAAAAAAAAGAGTTCAGATGACAAATGGCCCTGCCTCATGGAACTTCTTCTTTTAAATAAATTTATCCTTTAATTTCATTCTTCAGGAACATTTCCCAAGAGATTTACTTATTTGTTTATAAGGACTCCACATCTGGGTTTTACCTTAAGGAATCTTTCCTGACAAGTGACATAGGAAGACAAAAGACAGAGAAAAGCAAAGTCTGTCTAGAGCAAAGGGATCCAACAAGACAGAATCAAATCAACATATGCTGGTGTCGCTAAACCTAGGGGCTAATCCATAGAAATCAAAGACTTTTTGCCCAGTGATCTGAGTTTGGAGCCACAGAGAGATAAGCAGAGATTGTATTTTCTGCTTAAGCAGATTCTAGATACCAGGGCCTGAGTGATAAGAAAGCTTTCCCTTTCGGCTTAATGACACCTCACGTTCCATGTCTCCTTGACCTGGCCTCCAGGAAACCAGAGGAACTTTAGAATTTCTTGAACCCAAGTAAATTTCTCTTTTCCTTTCATTTTTTTTTTCCATGAGCACTTTTCTTATCAAGCACATTTTAATTTATTTTTATTCTACTTGAAAGAGTGATAGAGAGATCTTCTCTCCACTGGTTCAACTCCCTAAATGGCTGTCACAACCAGATGTGAGTCAGATGAAAGCCAGAAGTCTGGAATTCTGTCTCTAGATTCCAAACCTGCAGGGGCGAAGGGTCCCTCCACCCTCCGAAGATGCAGTAGGCCAAACAAAGACTGATGGGGAGAAGATGCATGCAAGTTCTTACCACACCAAAAAAAAGTCCAGACCTACAGGGATGGGAGTAGGATTATCCAGTTTCTTAACATTATTTACAAAATACCCATTTTCCTACAGGAGAGACAGAGAACCGGGCAAGTAGCAGTTTTCAGGGATTATAGATGATTTTTAGGGAAACAAATGACCCCAGAGACCATCTCTTTGGAATCTGGGTGATTCCAAGGGATATTGTTTTCTAATGAATGTTCACACAGGTGCTTCAAAACACTCGTGGGGTGACGGGCAGGTGTCGTGGTCCCTGGGACACCCACATCCCCTCCTGGGGTGCTGGTTTGAGTCCTGGCATCTCCACTTCTGACCCAGTTCCCTGATAATACGTAAGAAACAGCAATGAGGGCTCAAGTGCTTGGGGCTCGGTCACCCACATGGGAGACCAGAATGAGTGCTTGGCTCCTGACTTCCTCCTGGCCCAGCCCTGTTAGTGAACCAGCTTAATGGAAGACATTCACTCTCTCTCTTTCTGTCACTCTGCCTTTCAAGCAGATGAAAAATAAATAAATGAAATAACAAGAAAAGGAAAAACTCAACAAAATGAAACTTTTAAAAAATGTTTATTTTGTTCTGTAAATCTTTGAAATTCACACATAGGCTTTTCATATCACATTTCTCATGGACTGATCACGCATACAGTCCTCTATTCTGACATCAAGCATGAGAGCTTGGGGTGAGAGAAAGGCAATTTTGTAACCCACTAGGCTGACTGCAGGTTGTTCCTGCCAACGGCACATTTACATAGCCCTGGAATTCTGTTAGAGTGGCACAGAGCACTCAGTCCGAAACTCATGGTTGTAGTCCTACTTCAGTCCCAAGGACAACTCTACTTTATAACAAGTAGTGTGCAGGCTATCCACTGTCCCATTCTCTAAGTACTGCCACCACCTACATGTGGACTGAACCCCAGGGACCTTGGTGTGTTCCTCTCTGGCCAGGGAGGTGCCCCTGTGAGGCAAGACCAGTACTTGCAGGCACAGTAAGCTGCTGACACTCCCACACCTCCTTGGTCCTTCCAGCCCTGGTCCCCAGGGGGCACCGGGCACAATGTCTTGGCTCCCACCACTCCTGCCACTCCTCCTAAAGATGGCCAGTGGCTGGATACAGGACCGTCTTGCTCTGCCTCCGGAACCTATGCAGGAAGCCAGCATGTCCTGCCTGCCACCGTCCAGGACACAGGACAAGGGACTAGCAGTCTGTACTCCTGGGGAAGGGACAGCAGGGGACAGTGCCCTGCACTCCCCCCTCCCCCCCACCACCAAGTCCCTACCCTTTCCCAGGGAGTTTTTCCGAATTTCTGCTAGGATCCTTCAGTTTTTGAGGTTACTGCCAAGGAGGGGATGGGATGGGGGTTAGGGGGAGGACGGGCCAGACCAAAGGGGTAAGCCACCTTCGTGCTCCCTCCTGCACCTGCGCTGGGTGCAGAATGGCGGCGTCGTTGGAGAGGGCCTAGCTAGTTCCTAGGGTTTTCCTTGCAGACCAGAGGTGTTGATGAACGAAAGGCACGCAGCCTCCCCCAAGAACAGCACCTCCACTTGAGACTTCACCGTCTGGGCGAAGGCGGAGGGAAGCTTGAGCAGCCCCCCCACGTCCAGCTGCGAAACCCCCACGTTTAAAAGGTCTGGGGGTCGCTTTCCTCCACCGCAACACCCCACTGGTGTGTTTGCCCAGTGGGGAGCTCATCGTGGCTCTCCCGGGGCCGGGAGAGGCGCTGGAGGGTCCTGTCCTTCGGCCTCGATCGGTTCGTCTCGACTTGCAAATTGCCCAACTCCAAAGTGGGGAGCTCAGGTCCCGGGAGGGGGCTCCGAATAAACAAACGGGAGAGGCGGGCAGCTGGGGGGTGGGGGAGCGAGGCCGCGGCGCCCGGTTGGTCCCTGCAGCCGAGGAGGGCGGGCCTGGGTGCTGAGCAGGAGCGGGAGCCGCGCCAGGTGCGGGGTCCAGGCGCCCTCGCCGCTGCCCGGCTGCAAGGCGGGGCCCCCGGCGTGCGGCCCCTCCCCGCCCCGCCCGCCGCGGCGCGCACTCGGTCCCCGGGCTCGCTCGCTCCGAGCCACTGGCTGAGCCGGCCGAGCCATGGGCTGCGACGGCCGCGTGTCGGGGCTGCTGCGCCGCAACCTGCAGCCCACGCTCACCTACTGGAGCGCCTTCTTCAGCTTCGGCCTGTGCCTCGCCTTCCTGGGGCCCACGCTGCTGGACCTGCGCTGCCAGACGCACAGCTCGCTGCCCCAGATCTCCTGGGTCTTCTTCTCGCAGCAGCTCTGCCTCCTACTGGGCAGCGCCCTCGGGGGCGTCTTCAAGAGGACGTGAGTGCCACCCCTGCTCCGCCACCCCCTCATCCCCGATCTCCGGCCCCGCCGGCCAGGGCGGCCAAGGCGGTCTCCCTCCCCGCCAGCCCAGCCCAGCCCAGCTCAGCCCAGTCCAGCTCTCCCCGGAAAACTCTCCGGAGACCCAAGATGACTTTTGCATTATGTGTTCGTGTTCACTGGCTCCCGGCCCGCTCCGGGAGAAGGTGATGGGGGTGAGCGGAGGTGGGCAGGGTCCGAGCTTCGCCGCCGGCACCGCCACCGCTGGACACCCCAACCCACCAGGGGCGGCGGCAGGGCCAGGAGCCAGGAGCTGGCCTACGGCTTGACCCGGTGCCCAGGACCCTGTCAGTTCCACACCAGCGGGCAAGGTGCACCCAAAGGGAGCCAGGACACACATGCTGGGATGGCCCCCAGAGACAGAGCCCTTCTCTGTGGCAGACTCGAGTAGGGAGGGCTTAGGTGTCTCAGGGAGGAAACTGCCACCAAGGGTGCCAGGAGGCCCTTCTGTTGCCAATTCTGCCTACCCAGCACTCTCCCCCTCTCCCCCCAGCCTCTGCCGCACAGACCCCAGGGATGCCCCGTTTGCGACTGTCCTGGAATCTCCCTCTCCTGGCAGTGCGGGTGGAGAGGACCACCTCCGCAGGGCCCTTCTGGAATGGCTGCTAGCACAGCCGGGAAAGCAGAGCCAAGCGTGGAGGAGCAAGTGACTTGGGATCCGGGGGCTGCTGCCGGCTTGCCCTGGTCCCAGCTCCCAGCCCATTGCCATCCTGGACTCAGGCAAGCAGCTGGCCTGGGGACAACCACGCAGCCAGGCTCCCCCAGCAAAGAGTCTGGGCGCACACCCTTGGGTGCAGACTCCTCCCTAGAATGTGGCGGTGGTGGAGAACAGCACAGGTGTCTGTACAGATGGGCCCCCCTTAAGCTGCTGAGGCATTCTCCATCAGGGAGTGATTATCCACCCACCCCCCTTTCCCCAAATCCTCTTGTAAACCACAGAATTCTCAGAAATGAGCGTCCTTCAGTACACCCGGGATTGTGTGGGTTTGGTGCAGGATTCGATGGAAATGATGTTTGGAAAATCTTTTTTTTTTTTGAAGATTATTTGTATGAAAGGCTATGTGATGAAGATCTGAAGATTTAGAGAGAGAAAGAGAGAAATCTCTTGTCTGCTGGTTCACTCCTCAAATGCCCACTACAGCCAGGGCTGGATAGGCCAAAGCTGAGAACCCAGAACTCCAACCAAGTCTCTCCCACGGGTGGCAAAGACCCAGACACTTGGGCCATCCTCTGCTGCTTTCCTAGACTGCTTAGCAGGGAGTTGTATATGAAGCAGAGCAGTCAGGATTCGAACTGGTGCTCTGACATGGGATGTGGTCATCACAGGTGGCGGCATAGCCCATGTGCCACAATGCCAGCCCCCAAAATCTTCAAAACAAAAACAAAAGCTCAAGATCCTTTGCCTAATTAGATCCTTTGCTTAATTAGAAGTAAAGAAAAGAGATTTCTAAACATCAGAGGTATTTTTATTTGTTTTTAAAGTGTTTTCACTTCCCAAAGCTCCCTTACCTGGAACTTTTTAGCTTACATGGTGCCAAGAGCAGGAAAGAGAATGAGAGCAGCATGAGTCAGAAAGAACAGCGTGGCAGGTCTGGCTCTGTGACACACCTAACTGGGCCACCTCTTCCGGGATAGCTCTCTGTCTCTCTTGGGGCTCTTCAACATCACAGGGGGCTCTTAATAGACAGCAGAGAGGGCCCTACTGCAGGAAGCAGCTCCCAGAAAAGCCTCAGGTGATGACAGTGGCCATCACTAACTATGGCGCTCCTGCTCTCTACCAGGCACTCGTGTCTGTCCTCTGGCTGTACTGACCCATTTTGTCTCCCCAGAATCCCTTCAAAGTCAAGCCGTCGTGTCCCTCATATGCACGAGAAAGCTGAGACCCAAAGAAATCAGGAAACTTGCTTCACATCACAGAGCTAGCCAGGATTCAAACCAGATAACCCAGGCGATGCCTCTTGCTTTCATGAATAATCTGCACTCTGCTGTTGGGGCCCAAGCCTGGCATGAGTATCCTGTGAGCTCCAGCTGCTCCAGGGACAGCGATGCTGGACCTTGGGAAGGGGCTAGAGAGGGCAGGTCCTGTCTGTGGTTCAAGTTTAAATTCTTTTTTTTTTTTTTTAAGATTTGTTTATTTTTATTGGAAAGGCAGATGTACAGAGAAGAGGAGAGACAGAAAGGAAGATCTTCCATCTGATGGTTCCCTCCCCAAGTGAATCAGTTAACGGCTGGTATTGCGCTGATCTGAAGCCAGGAGCCAGGAACTTCCTTCCGGGTCTCCCACGTGGGTTCAGGGACCCAAGGCTTTGGACTGTCCTTGACTGCTTTCCCAGGCCACAAACAGGGAGCTGGATGGGAAGTGGAGCTGCCAGGATTAGAACCAGCGCCCATATGGGTTCCCAGGTGTCCAAGGCGAGGACCTTAACCACTATGCTATCGTGCCCCGCCCTCAAGTTTAAATTCTGAACCTCAATCCTGCCACCCCCAAAACAGAATGTCATAAAGAATGTTTCCTTGGGTGGGAGAACCATGTTGGACTTCCTGCAGTAGTGGGTGGATGGTCTTGGGTGGGACCTGAGTTTGCCACCTTCCAGCTAACTCTAGGCAGCTCTTGTCACAGTCCCTGAGTAACCCCCCCAAAAAACAAACAGAACCTTCATCAGCCCTGAAAGTGACCTCTACACCTGGTAAGCCAGGACCTCACTGCATCTCAGTGAAGATGCCAATACCTCCCAACTTCCAGTGCTTAGCAGCTAGCATGCTGCTGGGCTGCCACGTGGAAGTGGGGGCTGTGCCCACAGAGCTTCAAGGGCCAGCTATTGCAGGGGAGGGGTTCCATGTGACACATGGGGGAGGAGAGTCAGGCGTGTCCCTTTTGATGGGGCTTCTTCTCAGATCCTACCTGGCCTTTAGCCCAAACTCAGGGCCCCTGGCTTCAGGGATCTTCGGGAAGCCTCCATTGAGCTAGGGCAGACACTAGAGGGGAAAGTGGCTGCAGAGGCGGACTTGAGCCCTCACTGCCTGGACAGCACCAGCTGTCCACACCCGTCCTCTGCCACCCACCCCCAGCTTCTAGCACAGACTGTAAGATTGAAAGAGACTAGGAAGAAGGGAGGGAGGGGGTGCTGGGATGTAGCCAGAGGAAGACCTCTCTTGGGAAAAGCTGGCTTGCCTCAAGGAGGAAATGGCTCAGAGCAGAGAAAGCCAGGTGCCTGTGGTTGGCAGAGTTTGCCGCCGTGTCTTTTATCAGGGAAGGGGCACTCAAACAAAAGGTTAGGCTTTTCCTGGTAGTGGGGACCTGCTAAACCACCCTGAAGAGTTGCCCCTTATCTTAAAGGCATCATTAGGGCCGAGAGATGCCTTTGAGAGCCTCTCTGGCCTTCGCCCAGTCCCCTCCCACTTCCCTGTATACATGCTTCTCATGAGAGGCTGGCTAAGTTCCTCTGTCATTTTCTCCAACTCCTTTTAGTCTGCATGTCCTGCCTGGCCCTGGCCCCAGCCCTGACCCCAGCCCTGGCTCTGGCTCTGGCCCAGCCCCAGCCTCAGCCTTGATCCTTGCAGCAGCCCTGGCCCCAGCCTCAGCTGTGACTCCACATTGAGGCTCCCACCATTCTCAGACCTGCTCCCCAGTGGCTGACCCCTGCAGCAACTGGAACATAATACAAGTCAGTTCCCCAGGCTCTGAGCTGGGCTGTGGCTGGTCTGGTCCCCCTTCCAGAAAGTCCCTGTACCTATGCCCCTGCCCCTTTTCAGCCCATTGTGAGTCCCTCACCAGAGGGGCTACTGTTGGAAAAGGCCCCTCTCCTCCAGGTGACATTAAAGCTGACATCTGAATGACAAGAGACAGCCAGATGTGCAGGGATTGGAGAGGGGTGCTCCAGGACAGAGTGAGGACCCAGCCAACACCAAAATTATCCTTTCTGTGTGCAGAATGCAGCCCCGCCTGATTCTGACAGATGGTCTTGCCCTAGGCTGGAGTGTCCCCAGACACAGGCTTATCTGTGCCCTCCCTCAGCTTTGTCAGAGTGGGGTCTGCAGGTGCCTGAGATAGAGGGTGCTTCCTCTCTCCAGCCCTCCCCAGCCTTCCCATCAGCCCTTCCCGTCAGCCTGGGAAATTGAGGTTGGATTCCAGTGTCCCCTCCTAGCTATAGGGGCTGCCTGTCCCTTTGGGGATGACTAAGAACTGGGGATGCCCCCATCTGTAGTTCTGCCTCCCTGGTACTTCTAGAAAGGGGGATCCAACAGGCTGGGCAGGGAGGGAGGGTGTCCTTGGAACTCCCGCTGGGCAGAAGCGGTCCCTGTGGTCAAACTGTCGGAGGGTGGTGTGCTGGCACAGCCTGGACCAAGGGTGGCACAAATAGAGCTTCCATACTCTCCCCATCCCTGAAGGACAGGAGATAGCTGCCTGGTGTCCTTGGCGCCCAGGTCCTCCTGTTTGGAGCCTGGCAGTCCCTCCACCTTTCACAGAACCAGGAAAATCCAGAGCAGGTGCACAGGTCAAGATGATCACGTGCCTGTCTGGGTGAGGCCCTAGTGTACCAGGGCCCAGGTGGGGAGGGAGGAGGTCAACAGTACAAACAAGGTCACACTGGAGAGGGTGAATGCAGCTTAGCAGGCACCTCCAGCCGAGCCCCCTCCCCGCCTGCACCTCCTCTGTGGGAGGAGCCAATAATAAGTGACTTGGCTATTTCTCAGGGCATGCTGGCCCCCCCACCCCCCCAAGCTGTACCCTGGGCCTCCACTGGCCTCAGGGGAATGGGACATATCCTCTGAGTGGCCTGAATCACTCAGGGTGGGGTAGGGGTGGAGCTTAGGCCACCCTCTGCTGGTCCTTTGCCTGGCTTGGATGTCATAAGACTTTGATCCTAGCTCTGATCTGCTCCCTTTCCTGCCTGGCTGGGGGATATAGGTCCTAAGCACTGCTCTAGCTGGGAGACCCTAGGGGGAGCAGTGATGCTGGATGGTCCCTGACAGCCACTGAGCAGCCTCCTGGGGTTACCCCGGGTCACTGTGGCCAGAACAGTTCTGTCACAGAAGAGTGGTTGACATGGGGTAAGGAGGAACAGGAGCTGGCACTGGTCCATGCTCTTGCTGCTGAGAGTGGTTTGCAGGAAGCAGCATTGTGTCCTGGGGATGCCCAGGGCCAACAGGGAACGGCTAGCATGGGGTGGGACTGCAGGTGGCTGGGGTCAGGGTGGGAATATCAGTGAGAGAGCAAAGGAGGCTCTGACATCACATCATTCCCCAGCTCAGTTTCCTGTGGCAGAACTGGTTGTCCCCCGACTGTGCCACAATGCTGGGAAATGGTTGAATTAGACCTGGAGTCCAGTCTTGGGATTCCAAGCCACTCTCCATCCTCGAAGGCAGGCAGATGTCTTTGACATGATTGATGTGTTGTTTTAATTACCCATGGTCCTGGAAGGGCCCTTGACCAAGCTGTTTGTAACAGAAGAGAACCATATTTCAGTCTGGCTCCAGTACACACTGGCGACTTCCTTGTGGGGGCCAAGCATACATACCATTCCGGATATATGTGTTTCTGCTGATTTCTGAATGCCCAGGCACAGCCCTGCAGATGCAATTGGCAAGAGCCTGGGATCCCCAGCAGGAGTTCCCTAGGTGCCAGGAGCAAGTCCCCATTCCCCTGGCTCAGCCCTCCCACCCTCTGCTAGAAGGTGCTGAGCCTCAGGCACCACCCAGGCGTGTGGACCCCCAAGCCAGCAAGGCACTCTACAGTTCTTTCCTGTCTGTTCTTTTCCTCTCCCTCCTGCGTGTCTCTGGGCCATGTGGGTCTCTCGCATTGTGCTCAAGAATGACAAGAAGGGAGGCTGCAACAGAGTAGGCTGGACAGGGCAGCCCCCCAACTCCCACCTCCACCCCCATCCCTGGTGGCTGCTGCTTCCCTTTCCTCCCCCCACCCCCGTCCTGTCAAAGTCCCCGGGTTCCTTCCTGGCCATTGCCCTGTGTTGCTACTTATCTCTCCGTCCTTGTCATTTCCATCAGATAATCTGGCCTGGCGGCCTACAGCCCCTTTCCCCAGGCTGTCCTATGCAGGGTTGGGGGGCGGGGGTAGAGAGGGACAGGCTCATAGGGCTTCCAGTGGTACCAAGCTGCAACAAACACCGTGGGAAGCTTGCAGCAGAGCCAGCAGTTGTAATCATGCCTCTGGAGCCCAGCAACACCAGCCAAGGGGTCATGGGGGTCCCAGAGCCACACACCGTGGCTGCCTACCCCTGCCATTCATGGCTCCATAGAATTGGGCCTCTGGCTGTCTGCGAGCGGCCCTCTCCAGACTGGCTGGGTCCCTGGTTGTCACCAACCCTTGTACAAATTCACACGCACACATGCACCCTTCCACAGAGAATACAGGCAGCATAACATCAGAACACCTGGGTTAGCTTCCAGGCTCCAGAATCTTCTTTCTCAGCCTTCCTCAGCCTAGTGTTGTGGTGTTGCTCCTGGGGCCAACAGCATAGGCCTCTCCATGGTGTCATTTCTGCCAGCGTCTCCTTCCATACTCCATGCCCCACACCTCGGTATAGCCAGGGCTCCTGACGTCACAGTGCCTCTGCATGCTGGCCTGTGCGTGTGCACCCCAGGGCTGGTGCTGGGCCACAGACCCAGGCAGGTACACACAGGTGCTCTTTCCTCTGAACCTTGCTCCCGGACTTTCCTGCTTTCATCCGGTTCTTTCTAGGCCTTCACAATAATGCGTTCATTCTCCAGGCACTATTTGCGCTTGGTTTGGGGGATCCTGCTTGACCGTGTGGAGGAGTCATGTCCTGGCCCAGTGGGGCTGTTATATGAGAATGCAGTGTTGGCATATTGTTGCTGTGGGGTCACCCTAAAGGCTGCCTGGTCTGTCTTGTGGAGGAAAAGGAAGCAGGGTTGAGGGGTGAGGACAGAGCGAGCCTGGGAGCTCTGCCATTTGCATGGACTCTGTGGTGTATGCTGTTGCCCCAGTGTGCTGCGTGCCAAGGAGGGAACAGGTGAAACGGAGTGGTTTTGTTACAGGAGTGTCCCAGGGCAAGGTGGTAGAGGCAACCAGTTTCAGGACTGTCAGGTGGGGACCCTAGGTGAGGTAGAGGGTCAGAAGGCATTAGACAGCCACCACTCCTTTGCTCTCCTCCCATGCTGAGTTCTGAGCAGTTGTCTTTCCAAACAAGAGAAGAGAAAATACTTGTCTTTGATAAAGGACTTTTCCAGATACAGGATCAGAGGCTGGGAAGGGACTTAGCAGGAGACATGACAAGGGCCCCAGAGGGCGCATCCTGCCTGGCCCACACCACCCCACACCCCGGAGCTTTCCACCTAGCAGCCAGTCTGGAGGCTGCCTGGGGGCTCTCCAGTGTTTTGAACACAACATTCAGACCCTTCCAGAACCCTGCTGCCCAGTCCTTCCAGACACCTGCCAGGCAGATGACCTCTGCCTACCATAGGGGCCTGTACTACTTGGCTGGGGTGGGCGCCCTAGAGGATAGCACCTCTCTGTGGGTAAGTGATCCAGGGACCCACATCCAGCCACATACACACCTGGTCCTGTCCCCTGTAGGTGTTGCTCAAGGCAGCCTTACTGACACAGCAATCCATTTGCACTCAGCTGTTTGCAAACAAGCAATGTAAGGTGTCAGCAGCATTGTCATTTGCAAAGAGAATAAGAAGCAATGAGGCTTTGTGGAACGCCACCACAGCACCTTGAGTCCTCCCAGGAGGAAGCAGCAGGAAGCAAGTGGGGAGGCCGAGGAGGCTGGGGCCATTTCTTAGAAGGCTGTGGGCTTTCCATTGACCCTGGCTCTCTCCCGCTCAGCCTAGCTCAGTCCTTGTGGGCGCTGTTCACCTCCACGTTGGCCATCTCCCTGGTGTTTGCCGTCATCCCCTTGTGCCATGATGTGAAGGTGCTGGCCTTGGTCATGGCGCTGGCCGGTCTAGCCATGGGCTGCATTGACACTGTGGCCAACATGCAGCTGGTGAGGATGTACCAGAAGGATTCAGCCATCTTCCTCCAGGTGAGCCACCCCTGCCTGTCCTATGGTCCCTACCCACAGCAGGATGGAGAACCTGCAGCTGGGCCACCCAGGCAGCCTCCTGACACCTCTAAGATTGGGTTCCCTGGCTTCTGGGGTGGGGCAGGACCAATGCCTGCACTGCCCTAACAGGAAGTTCCTTGTAACTGGCAGAATGGTGAAGAGGAAGGGCTTGCTGTCCCTACTGTGCCCTTATTTGTCACCTTCCCTCCCTGCATAGTTCCTGCTCCTCCCTGTCATCAGAGGTTCCTATCTGGCCCTTCCCTGCATGGCGTTGTTTGCCAGTGGATGCAAACTTGGTGACCATCCCCAGGGGTGGGTTCAGGCTGGGGAAGGAGGAGGGGGGCCAAGGTGGGATTGGCCTCCATCACCCAGGCTGCTGCAGTTCTTTGTCCCCACTCTGGGACCAGGCAGGGGCTCCTCGGCCACCACTTCTGAGCCTGAACAAAGCCACACCCCTCCTTTCCCAGGTACTGCATTTCTTTGTGGGCTTTGGTGCTCTGCTGAGCCCCCTCATCGCCGACCCTTTCCTGTCCGAGTCCAGCTGCCTGCCCGCCAATGCCACAGTTAATGCCACCTCCAGGAGCCACCTGTTCCACGCCTCCAGGGTCCTGGGCCAGCATCATGCAGCCGTCACTGCCGCTGCCGGGGCCCAGCTGCGGCCCAACCAGACGCTCCCGGGGCTGACCCCAAAGGACGGGGCAGGCACTCGCGTGTCCTATGCCTTCTGGATCATGGCTCTCATCAACGTGAGTAGCACTGGGGAGGCAGGGCATGAGGGGCACGTGACCTTCCACACCTCCAATCCACTGTCCAGTCTCCAACAGGGGTTCTACATGTTCTGAGATGCGTGCTGCAGCTGAGATGCAAGAACTATGCAGAGGGGTGGGGGGATGCTGCTAACCCTCCCGGGGCATTCGGCTGTGTCTTCTGGCATCACAGTCTTCAAGGCAGGCCAAGGCAGGCATTGCCACCACAAGATGGCAATCAGCTTCCCTTCCCTTACCCCAAGGCCGGATGAAGTAGACTCTGGGACCAAACTTAAAGATGTGAGGATCTTCTCCAGGAACCCCCACCCCACCCAGCCACATGATTGCCAGGTGCGCTTATAAAGGCTGGGGTGGACCAAATGACCCCTAAGAAGCTCCTCTGGCTATAGCAGCAAGGTTAAGAGACCATCCTTTAAATAGACTGTACCCCAAGTGTGTACCACTGCCAAGTCAGCTTGATCAACTTGGGGTATTCTGCAACCCAAGGCCAAACTTTACCTAAGTGTGGTTCCAGAGGCATCCTCCCTCAGCCCAGGATGCAGCTAAAGGCCCAACTGAGGAGACGCTCTCCCCGACTCTGCTACCTGCCTAGCCTAAGCAGCACTTGGGGAATACCAGGGTACCCGTCTCCTGGCTTTGGCAGCACTCGGGTAATACCAGGGTACCCGCCTCCTGGCTTGGGCCCTGTGTGGAACCAGGGGCAGGGAGTGTCCGAGGAGGCCGATGGCCCCGCTGAGGAATAGAGACACCAGTTGCTCTTCCCCCTGGCTTAGGGCCCCATCTATGCTCCAGTAAGACTTGTGGGCCAGGTTGCCCAGCAGGTGCCATGCCTCAGCAAGTTGCTGCACATGGAGCTCTACAAGGGGCCTTTAGTCTGCCCACTGGCACTGAGCGGTATGGCAGGTGTCATGTCCCCCTACCTCCTGTCCCTAGCTCAGAGCTCCAGTGAGGCTGCATCAGGCTAGAAGCCAAACTTTAGCACACAGCCACTGCTTGCGTCCCACGAGTCAGCCCCCTTGGAGCCTTCCCTGGGCAGTGCTGGAGCTCTCAGCTGTGTACCTTTTCTTCCCTCTTCTCCCCTCCATCCATTGTTTGGGGGAACAAAGCATTCCTGGGCCTGGGCACTCCAAGGAGGACTTGGGGAGGGCACGGGGCCCTGTTTCTGGCCAGGGAAGGGGGACAACACCACCAGGAACCGTAAGGGCCGACTGAAGCCCAAGGGCTGTCTTGTGCTCCTGGAAGCACAGGCTGGAGGGACTTTGCTGCAGAATTTCCTTGCTTTCTCTACAGGTTTGTGCCTGAGAATAAACTGTGTAGTGCAGAGGGGCATGCTCTCCTGCTTGCACCTGGGTTCACCTCACCTGTCACTCTTGCTGCCCAACACAGGAGCCTTTTAGAAGCCAGGTGTCCCCCTGGCAGCCTCGCCAGCCAATCCTGGGAAAGCCCCTCCCTGGCAAGCCCCGCCTCCAGGATCTGCTGCTTTCCCAGCTGTTTCCCCTTGGCCTTCCCCCAGGCACTACGCCTGCTGGGTACCTGTGTGTTTTTCCTGTCCCCCCACTGCATAGTGGAGAAGGGCTGTGTCTCTCCCTAAGGGAACCGGCTGACTCTTCCCACCAGGATCTGTAGGTTTCCTGCTGCCAGGCACCAGTAGTTCTGAGTGCAGAAATTCCCAAGGTCACCCCTGGGAGGTACCAGGCGCTCTTTAGGGGGTGTTTTTATTCTGTTTTGTTGCCTTTTACAATGATGGAGGAACTGGGGAAATGCGCAGTGCAAGTCTCCCCGAGTCCTAGGAGCGAATGAGGTTCTTGGAGCGGCCGGCTGGCAAGCTGGCACAGACTCAGGCTGGGCAGTGGCTGCTGGGAAGGAGTCCTGGGCCCAGCTCACCAGCCCCTGGGGAAGCCCGAAGGACCCAGGCTCAAGTTGCAGCAGGTGGCAGGCAGCACCTGGGCGTGGTCCAGGGCTCCCTGGCAGCCAGGGTTTTAAGATGCGAGCAGGGGCACCTGAGGGAGGCACGAGGCCTCTCCAGGCAACCCTGAAGCAGGGGACATTTCCCACTGCTCCTGGGAGTTCCGGAAAAGCCTCGTGTAAACAGCTGTGAGCAGCCGGCGGCAGGCAAGCGGGCCTGTGAGGTGCTCTCATAAACATGTACTTGGCATGGCAGGAGGCCAGGCTTGGGTTTTCTGGTTCAGAGGCATGGCCCCTCCTGGAACACACCACCCAGGCAGCCCGGAGAAGGGGCCCAGACCCTTGGCCATCACTTCTGTCTTTTCCCAGGCCATTAGCAGGCTTCTACAAGGGAAATGGAACAGCCAGGACATGCACTCAGTGTGCACATGGGATGCTGGTGTTGCTGTGTCACAATGCTGGCCTGAAGTCACAATTCAGAACCTCAGTTGCCCCATTGTCCAGTGGGGATGTTAACTGCCCCTTCCCACCCCCAATCTTGGAATACCATAGTGGACTCAAATGAAGCTGCTTTCTGGAGTGTTCCGTGACCTGCCGGCCAGAAGGCCGGAGGCACAGTGGTCTGCAGACCTCTGTTCAGCTCAGGAGGTTGGAGATGAGATTTACCTGCTGGTCCCCACTCGGCAGCCAGCGGAGGCCCGGAGGGACTGGTGGAGATGAAGTAGGAGTTGTGTGAGGCACCTGGCTCATGGGCTGGGGGCAGCTCTCAGGTGGGCACCCTTGGGGGAAAAAAAAAACGCCTGCTGCCAGGGCTGTGCAGATAGGTGCCAGGCACGGGCAGGAGGAGGGGCCTTCCTGACCCGATGCCCCGCCCCCCGCAGCTTCCAGTGCCCATGGCAGTGCTGCTGCTGCTCTCCAAGGAGCGGCTGCTGACCTGCTGCCCCCAGAGGAGGCCCCTGCTCTTGAGTGCCGACGAGCTCGCCCTGGAGACGCAGCCCCCTGAAAAGGACGATGCCTCTTCTCTGCCCCCCAAGTTCCAGCCACACTCAGGTGGGGGCTCCTGGGACCTTTCCCACCTTCCCTGCTGAGAGGGTGTACCCAGGTGCTAGTGGTTAGGAAAAAGCCTTGACCCCGCTGGCCTGGGGGAGGGACTAAGCTAGAGCAAGTGGAAGCAGCTGGTGCCCCCCTGCCCCTGTGCCTTCCTCCAGCCATGCCCCTTCCTGCACCTCCCTAGGGCACGAGGGCCTGTTCAGCTGCTGCCAGCGGAAGAACTGCCAAGGAGCCCCCAACTCCTTCTTTGCCATCCACATCACAGCTGCCCTGGTCCTGTTCATGACAGACGGGATGACGGTGAGTCCGCGGGCGAGGGATGGGGGGGCCACATCCTCACGTCTGGGAGCGCACCCAGGATTCTTAGACACCCAGGAAGAGCTAGCTTTGCTCTACTTGGGTCAGCTCTCTAGGTAGGGGCCCATGTGGGTTGCCAGCAGTGCCCTGGAGTGCATAGCCTTAAAGCACAGTGCCTCTGCCAGAACACTGGACAAAACTGGCCTCTGGGGAGGGCTGAGCCCAGCTATTCCTGCCTCTAGTCACCTCGGCTGCATTGGTGCAAGTCTCTCTGCTGCTTTCTGAAGTCTCTTAGGAGGAGACTGGCTCAAATAGCTGACTGATTAACTTGCTGCTCTGCGTAGGAGCCCTGGTGAGGAGGGGTTGCTTAACTAAGAACTCTGTCCACCACCGGGGAGTGCTTGTGACGCTGGTTGACTTGCAGTGTGACCTTGGCCAAGTTGCCGCTGACCATTCTTCCACCTGTAAAATGAGATGCTTGTGCACACCTGGGAGTGTTTGTCTGGGGAGCAGTGCCTGTCCAGGCCTTGTGGGGTCGCTGTTGCTTCTCTGAAGCTAGTCCCTGCGTCACCAGCTGCTAGCCGGGTCGGGCCACAGGTGTGCTCAGCAGGGGCCTGGTCTCTCCCCAGGGAGAATATTCAGCCTTTGTGTACAGCTATGCGGTGGAGAAGCCGCTGTCGGTGGGACACAAGGTGGCAGGCTACCTCCCCAGTCTCTTCTGGGGTTTCATCACGCTGGGCCGACTCATTTCCATCCCGGTCTCCTCACGAATGAAGCCGGCCACCATGGTGTTCATCAATGTGGTGAGTGGCCAGTGCTGGAGGGGAGGGGGCACCTTCCGCCCAGGAAAGCCCACGTGCTCCCAGCCACGGCCCCAGGACACGTGCTTGGGACTGGACACTGCCGCCTGGCTGGGGACGTAGACACGAGGGGGGAGAGGTGCTGACGAGGAGGGGCGGGGCAGCTTGTGTGTCCGCTGGACAGGAGCAGAAGCAGAGACAGGAAGGAGCTGGGACCTCACAGGACACAGGTTCCTGCTGACACAGACTGCCCAGAGAGGGACACATGTGCTGGCCTCCCTTGCTAACCTTGGCACCAAGCTGGTCAAGCCTTCTTGCTGCCCATAGAGGCCTGGAACCCCCAGACATCTGTATAGCCACCACCCCCCCACCAGGGTTGGGCCTGGTGATTTGCATGTTGTAGCTATGCTGTGTGATTTTTTAAAAAAAGATTTCTTTAATACACACACACACAGATCTATTCACTAGCTCACTGCACACACAGCTGGGAGCCAGGTGCTCCAGGCACTTAGTGCTTGACCCATCCTTGCTGCCTCCCAGGGGTGTGCAGTAGCAGGCGGCTGAAATGCAGCAGAGCTGGGATTCAAACCCATGCTCCCCTGCACCTATGGGCCAAACGCTGACCCCAGTGTAGCTTTGGGAGCCGGATTAGGAACCTAGGACATAAACCAGTTGTGCGGCACAGGTAGGATTCTCATCTGGTCCTCTTCCCAGATGTGTTTTGCCTAAAATTAATGTGGACGCAAAAGCATGGGTATAAACCTTAGAGATGGGGTTAGCAAAAAAAAAAAAAAAAAAAAAAACCGATGCCTATGCAACAGAGAGCCTCTTTTTGCCAGGAAGAGTTCTGGGCCCAGCTGCCCGTGGTGGGGAGGGTCTGGGGAGGAGCCACACTGGCTGAGGAAGCCCCTGGGCCTCCAGGGGAAGCTGGCTGCCGCTCCCAGAGGGCGGAGACCCGGCCGCTTGACAGACTACTTCCCCTCTCTGCTCGTCTCCCTGTGGGCTGGAGAGGAGGGAGGTGGGCGTTCATCCTCCCCCTCCCCCCGCTCTCCACTCCAGAAGAAACTGAAGATGCGGGTGGAGTTCCCGGGGCTTACGGATGACACTCTGGGGCAAAGGCAATGTCACATTCCAACGCCCACTGCTGGCGGTGGGTGCGAGGGTGTGAGATGGGGCGCGCTTCCCTGTGGTTTCGCACGTACTTGGGGGCTTCCCGGGCAGCTCCCACTAAGGGAGTTGCAATTCCCAGGTGGTCCACACGGTGGCGCGCCAGGCACACTGAGACGTCCTCTCCAAGGCTGAGAGGGGCTGGGCTGGTCGGTGGGATCACCCGCCTTCCCCCACCCCACCTCTGATTTTTAATGCCCACCCCCCTGTGGCGACAGGTCGGCGTGTTGGTGACATTCCTGTTTCTGCTGATTTGCTCCTACGATGTCCTCTTTCTGTTCCTGGGTACCGCGAGCCTGGGCCTGTTCCTCAGTAGCACCTTCCCTAGTATGTTGGCTTACACCGAGGACATTCTGCAATACACCGGTGAGTGACCGGCCTGGTCTGCCTCTCTTCCCTCCACCTCTGTCCCGCCTCTCTGCCCCAGCTCCCAGCTGGCTCTGGCCCCAGCAGGAGCACGGCAGGGCTGGCTCTGGCCCCAGGCTGCTGTTGCTGATCCATGTCTCAGCTGTGTCTGTGGACTCACAGCTGGCATTTTGTGTGTGTGCTGGACAGTTTCAAATTCAAAGGAAAAAAGAAAAACTGAAATTATGAAAGAAAAAGGAAATTATGGCCCAAGACAAGTGTTTTATGATTGCGAACAATAGTGCCTGCCAGCTTGCCTGGTGTGGCAGACGTTGTTGGAAGCATGAGGGATGTGAAGGATGATCCCGTGCCTGGCTGGGGTTGTGACACAGCTTTTTGATGTCAGAAGCTTCTGATTCTCTCATCTCCCCAGCCCTGCCCTAGCCCTCCCAAATACATATGGCAAAGCTCTTTATAATGAGTTAATTAAACATAATTGCATTTTTGAACACTTAACATTACTCTGAGAAGTAACTGGAATCATCCTAGAGGTTGGAAAACCAGTGCTGAAATGAGCGAGGCTTCTTAGAAGTGGAGGAAAAGGGTGTTCAAGGAGGACAAGACAATTACAGCTGCACCCGGCTCTGTTTCCCACAGCCACAGGGGGACAAGAGGGGACTGAGTCGTTGGGGAAACGACATTTTAGGGGAGCAGCATTGTGGCACAGTGGGTAAAGCTGCCACTCAGGATGCTGCCATTTATATGAACACTGGTTCGAGTCCTGGATGCTCCACTTCTGATCCAGCTCCCTGCTAGGGTGCTTGGGGAAGCAACAGCGGAAGATGGCCCTAGTGTTTGTGCCCCTGCAACCACATGGAGACCTGGAAGAAGTTCCTGGCTCCAGGCTTTGCTGTCTGGGGAGTAGATCAGTGGAGGGAAGATCTCACAGAGAGAGAGAAAAAGAAAAAGATCTTCCCTCCACTGGTTCAAGCCCCAACAGCCAAAGCTGGGCCAGACCAAAGCCAGGACTTGGAATACCACCAGGTCTCCCATGTGGGTGCAGAGGCCCAAGTGGTTGGATCATCTTCTACTGCGTTTCCTAGCCCATTAGCAGGGAGCTGGAACAGAAGTGAAGTAGCTGGGACTTGAACCAGTGTTGGACTTGAACTGGCACCCCTATGAAATGCTGGCTTAACTTTACTGCAAAATGCTGGCCCCTTGGTCCTTGACGTTGAAGGATAATCCACAAACCATCTTAGCTCAGAACATCATTACTGAGTATTTTCTATGATAAGTCTGCATGGCGTCCCATTTTCAAAATGGAGAGGCTGTTTTATAAAATCAACATGTTCCTTACACGAATTTCAAGCCACACAAGCAGTAGGTAGAAATGGCTGATGGGCTAGGAAATGCAGTACAAGATGGTCCAAGCACTTGGGCCTCTGCACCCCACCAACGTGAAAGCCCCCTTGTTCCTTCCCACTTGCCTTCTGTGTACTTGCGTGCAAACTGAGATCCAAATGAGCCCGAGATGTCTACTGTGTGCTGTCTGTAACTTAGAGGAAAGGCAAGCCTGCCCCATTGACCCCGAGAGTCTCCCTGTGTCTGACTTGGGCTCCTCTGAGTTGGGGTCTCCATGGGCACCTGGACCAATTCCATTGAAGCGTGCCTCTGAGGAGGCCCTGACCTTGACAGAGATGGGGACCTGAGACGCTTCTTGCATCCTGTCCTGATCCAGCCAGCCAATCCTGCTCCTGCTTGTTCTGCTCTGGGTGCAGTGCTGGCTCCCTGGGGTCCTGCCCAGGGAGGCACAGTCTCTCCTCCAGCTTGCCCTGCAATACCCTTTCTGGCTCCCACACCCCCTGATCTGTCCGCTCACCCTTCCCTGCTTCCTCCCATCCAGTGGGATGCTCCTCCAGGCCTGTTGGAGAGCTGACATTGAACCCCCCGACATTGTGCTAGGCCCTGGGGTTTAGTGCAGCTCAAGGCTTGCACCTGTGTTTCCTGCCCAGGATTCGAAACTCACCTCCACACTTCCTGACTTTATGACCTTGTTTAATTTCTTTTTTAAATTTTAATTTATTTAATTTTATGATACCATTCCATAGGCTCTGGGATTTCCCTTACCTCCTCCCAAAATTCCCTCCCCTACTACTAATTTCCCCTATATTATTACAATAGTATAGTCCTTCATAAGCAGTCATAAGTCCATCATTCTGCTATCTAAGTGTATCCTGACATTGCGGGTATGGACAACAGCAGAGTCTGGCACCCTATTGTCAAGATAGATTTCACAGTTTCACTGGGAGTCCGTCTGTGATTTGGAAGTAGACATGCATACTGCATTGTATCTTCACATCTGGATATGATAAGTCAATTCCCAAAGGTTCTCTCTGATATAAGGCAGCCTTCATGCAAACTATGAGATCAACGGCCCTTTCAAAACTGTTTTTGCTGCAACTCATGGGTTTTGATATTTTTTTTTATTTTCATTTCTTCAAAATAGTTTCTTTTCTCTTATTGAATTCTTCACTGACTCATAGGTCATACAGTGGCATCATTTTCGCCAATGTTTTTTATTTGCTTTTTCATTTCTTCAGCAATATTTTGGTCATCCAGTAGCATGTTATTTAACTTCATGGAGTTGTACATTTTTAAACTTTATTCCTGTTGTTGATTTTGTTTTATGGCTTTTCATATAAGGGCATGTATAGTAGCTGTGTAATAGAGACTGTCCTATCCAGATGTGAGGACACCTTGTATAATTTCATTTCCTTCTCTTTAAGTCGCAACTTTCCCATCTGTAAAATGGGGAAGCAGAGTCCTATCTTTTGGAATGTAGTGCTTTAGAGGAAATGTAACTGCACAGCGTGGCTGGCCCACGGGGGCTCAGAACCAGCCAATTCTTACTCTCCTGCACAGCCTCCTATGTACAGAAAGTCCTTGACATTTTTAAAAATTTTATTCATTTGAGACAGAGCTCTCATAGGCTGATTCACAGGCACAGGAAGGCCTGAGCCAGGGGTTCAGGAGCTCAACCCTGGTCCCTCATGCGGGTGACAGGAGCCCAATGACCTGAGCTGTCCCTGCTGTCTCCCCAGGGTGGACATTAGCAGGGAGCTGGAGTCTGGATCTGAAGCTGGGAGGCTCCCAGGCCTCCTGATGTGGGGTGCAGGCATGCAAACCTATATGCCTCCTCCCCTTCATGGTTCTGGGGACAAAAAAGTAAGATGGACAGTCGGGGGGCCCTGGACTTGAGAAGGGCATGGCTAATACTGGACTTGCTGAGGGCTATGGGAGGAGAGGGGATGTGAGCTGGCCCCGGGCTGAGGAGAGGAAAGGGGGAGGCATGAAGGGTCGGGGGGTGGGGTGAACAGAGAAGATGTGAACCTAAAGGAAAGAGCTAGAAGGCGCTCACTGTCCAGAGGAGACGATGTAACTGTTTTAATCCAAAGCACTGAGATGCCTGCTACACGTGGCCACTGTGCTCCCACTCAGTGCCGCTGGGTGCCTCTGGGCAGCAGGGAAGGCAGAGAGCAGACGGGGTGGGAGTCAGTGGGCGGGAGCAGGGTGCAGGACCCATCTGAGCACATAGAAAAACAAGGATCCAGGCCCGGGGACAGGGAGGAGTTGGTGATGAGAATATCACCTGGGACCTGAGAGATGAACAGGAGTCCACCAGACCAGGAGCATCGGGAGTCAGGAAGCCTCGGCAAGGGCGTGGACTTGGCCAGGGACCCAGTGAAAGCTGCTCCTGGCTGGAGCATGTACAGAGAGGGTGTAGCCAGGGCAAGGCTTAAAGGGCTTTGTCTAGGAGACCACGTGGAAGGATGCGGGGCTGGCCTGGGTGCTGACAGCTCCCACTACTGCTTCCCCAGGCACCTGACTTAGGTCAGTCACATCAGAGTCCACAGTGACCCTAGGAGGATCCAGTGTGAGGCCCAACAAGACCCAGAGAAACTGGCCAACTTGTCCAGGGTCGCATGGCTGGCAGATGATGTGGCTGGGCTTAGAAACAGAGTCTTAGCTGAGCTCGGGCCCCACAGGTCTGTGCAGGTGGCTCCCCAGGGCCAGGCCAGGGCCCTCAGGGTAGGCAGATTGGCCTGCATGTAGGAGCAATGCCCTGGGAAGAGCTCTGAATGCCAGGCTAAGCAATTGCAGACAGAAGACTCCAAGACAACAAAGGGGCCTTCATGATGCAAGACCTCAAGCAGACCTCACGAATGGCTGTCCCTCTTTGCAAGATTTCCCGTGACTGCATGGACTATGACAGCTGACTTCTGTCTACTGGACATGCTTGCACGGAACAGAATCCTTCTCTTTTTTTGTCAGGTTGTGCCACCACCGTGCTGGTGACCGGGGCAGGAATCGGCGAGATGGTCCTGCAGATGCTGGTGGGCTCGGTACGTAGGGGACTCCAGGCCAGGCTGGCGGGGAGGTAGGGGGAGCATCCTCCAGCAGGTGGGAAGATGTGTCTGCTCTTCCCTCCCGCTGCTGTTGCTTTCCTGAATTAGCCAGCACAGCCTGACCTGGCTGGTGTTGCCTTGTTCCCACTTCTGGCTCAGCCTTGGATGCTGAGCCCCCTGCTGTGGGGTCTGGAGATAGGACATAGCCAGTGCCAGGAGCTAGGCTGGGGAAGGTGGGGAGAGAGTCGGTGGGAACATCACATAGCTCCTTCTCAACCCCACCCCCACACCATCGCTCACAGATGCTGCCAGGGCTACCGCCCCATGCCTGATGCAGCCACGCTTGTCCACAGAAGGACAAAGAAGTCTGTCTGATTGAAAGCTGTTGTGCACAGATGATCTGCGCTTTGACCTCAGCTCTGGGGGTGTGGCCACTTGGCCTAGGTCAGCCACACTTGCAGCCCCGGGCTCTGTCTGCAGAGCCCTTTCCATCTTTCATCACACCGCCTGCTCTCTGCTGCCCAGCCCTGTGAGGTGATGTCTGGGATTCGTTTCAATGTCATCTGGTGCAGGAAGTAGAAGGTTCCAGATGAAATTGCTGCTAATTCCTTAAGGATGTTCCAGAAGCTGCTGTTTTGAGGCCTTAGCTAATATTTGATTGGGAAGGTGAGAGACACAGACGTAAACAGGAAAGCCCTTCCACCTAGCGGCTCAGTGTTCGAGAGCCAGGGCTGGGCCAGGCCGGGCGAGGATCCGAGAACTCCATCAGGGCTATCACGTGGGTATCAGGGAGCCTGACCACTTGAGCCATCAAGTCCTGACTCTCGGGGTACATGTCAGCAGGAAATGGGAATCGTAAGCAGAGCTGGGACCCCAATCTGGGGCACAGGGGCGCCCTAACTGCTGTGCTAAGTATCAGTCCCTCTCTATGCTATTTCTGATGTATGTTTGGCATTTTTATAAAACAAATATAAGGTTCAAAAGTGTGTATCTTCTGCAGAGCCCCAGTTAGGTCTTACAGGTATGCAGACACCTGGCAGGACTGTCAGTAATGACAGGGAGATTCTTAGAAAGTTCTAGAACTCAGAACTGAAAATGACTGTGGGAGGTCATGAGGTCCAGCCCTACCGAGGTGCAGGACGAGTGGCTCCTGTAGACAGGCAGCCCTGTAACGGGACCGGCTCAGTGTGCCCTCCACTGCAGCGTGCCCTCCCCTGCGTGCTCCCAGCCCCTGTTGATGCCTGTTTCCCCTCCGGCTCCTGCAGATATTCCAGGCCCAGGGCAGCTACAGCTTCCTGCTGTGTGGCGTGATCTTTGGCTGCCTGGCTTTCACCTTCTACATCTTGCTGCTGTTTTTCCACAGGATACACCCTGGACTCTCATCAGGTAAGGAGAGGCTCGGCTCCCACACAAGAGGCGGAAAGCGGGGTGGGGAGGAGGCTAGGGGCCAAGCAGGCTGGGCCAGAAGCACCGTTCTATTCTGTTCTGAGCAGAATGCACGGAAATGTTTATTTTTCTACAGCTTCCTCTTCCCCTCTTCCTGCTTTCCGTGCGATTGTTTAAGGCAGGAGGGCACAGGACAGCTGACTCAGGGTTTCTATGTTAGCAGAAGGGCATGGACTGTGAACTTGGCTTCCTGCATCCCACCATGCCACAGAGCTGTGGGCCAGGAATCTTTCCCAGCCAGGCCCCGGGCCCTGCGAGGTAGGGCCTGCCTCCTGGGCTGGAACGGAGCCCAGCGGCCTAATTGGCCATCCCTTTGCAGTTTTGGGTTTTGACTCCAGTCCAGATTTTTTTTTCCCCCCCAAAAGCAGCCTTTGGGCCCCGGGAGGATGGAGGCAGAGCCACCTCCTAAGAGAAGGCTCCCTCCCAGAAACCCTAGGTGGAGCTGGGTGGCCAGGGCCCAGCGGCCAGGACCCTGGGCAGTGCCTGACGCTCTCCAGAAAAACACTAATGACACAGGGAGGGTGGGGCCCAGGAGTCATCAGACCCAAGCCTGAGCAGACAGCTCTCCTAAAGACATTCTGGGAGGCTTTGCTGAACAGCATGTGAACAACCAAATGGCTTTTATATTCATGAGACTAAAAGCAACCAGCAATCCCAGTGGGCCAGCACTGGGCAGGTGTGGCTTTGCTCTGCTGCCTGCCCCAGGAGCCACAGAGCTGGCAAGGACACAAAGACAGGGTCATGGATGAGGGGTGGCTGCTGCTCAGCCTGACTTTGGGTCTTTTCTTTCCTAGATTCCACCCAAAACAAATCACTGGACGTGGAAAACTCAGAATGTTACCAGAGGTAAACAAGCACATGGGGGCAGCAGGCCAGCCAGCCTCGGGCGCAAAAGCTGAGGGTTGCAGTGGAGGCAACCTTTTGATGCATTTGTCTCTCCACTCACCTGGTTCGTTGAAGAAATTCCATGGAGTCCTGATGCCCAAATCTCCCCCTGGCACATTAGCAGACTTTTACCTGGCTGTTCCCATCCCTTTCCCTTGCCTGATTTGGGGGACGGGCTCTGGTAGGAACCATCCAGGAACCCCCATGGGACGGTAGGAGCCAGCCTGCACTTCCTTTCATTTTCCACCTCATGCATGGACCATGCCTGGGTTGGTGAGGCTGAGAAACCAGGTTCAAGTTATTACGCTCGGTCATCAGTGCTCATATAGATGTGTTTAAAGGTCCCCAGGCCAACCCCGAGTTTCTCCCTGGCATGCGCAAGGCGTTTCTGTACTCTTAGGGCCCAAGCCAGAATCCATCCTTCTCACAGCTTAAAATGCCCATTGCAAGATTGATTCTTACTCTTTGGGGCCCTGATTCAGTGGTATGCTGGGCCAGCTCACACCAGCTTGAAGAAGCTGCCTGATAAAATTGAGGGCTGGTTGTTAAAACATCAGCCGTTATGAAATTTTTATGGACTTAAATTATGAAAAGCTGAGGTAATAAACACCCAGGACTCCCCATGTCCCCATGTTACGGATGCTCTTGAGGTGCTGGGTTTCTGGGGGATGAAATGACCAGGTGATGGAAGCTTCTGGGCCTTTTCCCATCTCTGCTGACCGTGGCAGCATGTCCCTGTCTTGAGATCAGCCACGGTGAGAGCATTTATACCACAGAAATTGGCCACAGCTATCACGTTAGCCACTTTCCAGCCCACGCTGCTAATCATCCATGTTTACGGGTCCAAAGCCTGTGGGGACAATGGCATGCATGTTCTCATTTTCCCTACTGAACTGACAAGCATATAAAAGGCACTGAGAAACAGCACAAAGAATTTCCCAAAGACCTGTCATTTTAATTCTACATCTTTTGTACAAGGAAAAAAAAAAAACCCTCCACGTCCAGCTCTTTAACAAATGACTAAGTGTGGCACAATTCCAGCCGTGCAGTTTGCTGAAAGCAGTAATGCAAGGTGGGACTCAGGAGGCTGTGAGTTGGGACAGCCTCCTGCTTGGCTTGCATATTCAAGTATACGCAAATGTTATGCACCTGAGCAAAGAAGTGGATCAGGGTTCTTGGCCACCTGTCCCAAGTGCTGTGGTTCACAGGCCTGACATCTGGCCAGAACCGCAGGTGTTGTCCAGGCCGCAGGCTCCGACCACCAGCATCCTGTGTATGACAAGGATCTGGCTGGAGAGACCTGGGTCAAGCCTTGGTCTCACCCTCCAGCTTGGGCAGCCCTGGGAGCACATCTGAGGCTCTTCCAACCTCACTTTTCACCAGTAAAGTGGCATTTCTAAAAGTACCTACCCTACCTCAAAGGCATTTTGAAAGAATTAAGTGAATTTGTATAAAGCGCTTACTCTAAGCCTGACATAGAGATTGCTTAGTAAATACTGGCAATTTCTATTTTTAAAACTTCCTTCTAAGCAGTTTCAGGAACTGCTCATATGCTTGGTACATATTTATTGTAAGTTTAACAGATCCAATGTCTTAGGAAAGCTGGTGGTCAGGGTATAGTTTTAACTGCAAATACTTAAGAGGCCAGCCGATGTCAAAATGCAATCCTACATGGACACACGTGATCTGGGCAAAGGAAAATAACCTTTTTTTATATAGATCTAGAAAGAAGACTCAATGGTTATATCTAAGTTGATTGTGATTAATTTGTTACTATAGAAGCCAACAACAGATTGAAGCCTATCTTTCCTAAAATAAAAGTATTTTAAACTTGGTAAATGTTGTTCTCCATGGGAAAGGTCCTGCTCTATAAGCTCAGAACTAAGTGTCCCCACGTCACCAGAGACAGGGTCCCAGGGCTGCTGCTTGTGGACAGCCAGAGGCCTGGGCACCAGCCACGGAGCAGCGCCAGCTGGCCAGGACACCTGCAAGGGTCTGACACCAGGGCAGGGTAGCCGCCTGTTTCCAGCTCCCCAGGCTGTCCTGTCCAGGACCCACACTACCCCGGGTCAGGGACGTGCCACTCCGTTCTGCTCTTTCAGAAACAGCTGTCTGACGGGCTTATGCCACCTCCTAATGCCACTTCCTGTGGATGTTGTATCAGCCCAGTTTCAAAAAGGCTTCGTTTTGTTTGTTAATGAATAGAAGCCTCCAGTTCTCTCAAAAACTGTACAAACAGTGCCTGGAAGAGAAATAAGCAAAATTGCTCCTTCTCAAGGGCTTTCAATATAAGCATCTGATTTGATTTTAAATCCTTTTAAAATGTTAATTTTTTAAAATAAAAGATTTCACCTGGTGAATAGTCTTTTCAGGCAGTCGTTTCTCCGATCCTTTTACACTGACAACTACTTTGCAAGCTCTCTTTGCCACTCACGACAGTGTCATCTTCAAACATGTTCATGTACGAAACACAGGGAACAGCTGAGTGCAGGTTTTAATAACTAACGCCCAGTGGGGGAACTTACTCTTTGCTTACCCCGGATAAAAACACGACCCCGAGGTTACTTCAAACAGATCAGAGAAGGAAATGAATGATCAAGTCAACAATCATTTTGTTAAAAATATTTATTTAAAAAAATACAATTGTCCATATCTAGTTGCACATTTATTAACATATCTGTATAATTTTGGACTTAGTAAACTTGATACAGTGCTTTCTTAAAGCTAGGCTGCATTATACAAAGCAAATTCCTGTCAGTTCTTCCTAAAAGTTTTTTTCTTAAAGTATCATCTTTCTTAAAAGATGCATTTCACCATTATAGAATTTAACAAAACATCTGCATACCACTGGGGACTGGGTGGGCAGCCTGCCACCGCCTGCTTTCTGGAGCAGCCCCTGCCTCTGGAAATGCATTCAGCATCCACTGCGCTATTTTCTTTTTAAAAATTCATTTTTAAAAGTTTAATGTATCTTTATTTAAAAAACAGAGCAAGCGAGATCTTCTATTCCCTGGTTCCCTGTCTCAGTGCCTCCAACAGCCTGGTGGGACCAGGCTGAAGTCTGAAGCTGGAAACTCCAGGCAGGTCTCCCACATTACGGGCAGCGACTCAAATACTTGAGCCAGCAGCTGCTGCCTCCCAGGCTGTGTCTCCACAGGCAGCTGACAGAGCAAGCAGAGCTGGGGCTTGAACCTAGGCCCTCGGAGATGGGGTGGGCAACCAAGGGGACACTAAGTGATGTGCCAAGTGCCCCATCCTGCTTCCCCGGCAGAGGACAGAGGAAAACCCTGCCAGTGCTAGGGCATCCTTCTTCGCACCGGCTACGACCCTGTCAGGTTTCTTTGCCACAAACAGAATTCAAAACGGCAACAATCATCCTAACCGACCTTGCCACAACTTCCCTTTGTGTGCCAACAGGTGAGCCAAGCTGCTGGGGAGGAGACGGGCCGTCTCTCCAGCTGTATCAACACACGATTACCACTCAGTGGCATGTCTAGGACCAAGAAAATGTGGTTTTAATACTTTGAAGGGTTCCCTAAAAACAACTGAAACGAATGGCATTTGCTAGGGACACGTTAAGTTACTAGTTCCTTTGGGTGGAAGGCACCATGCAAAGCATGGACGTGGACAATCACACAGAAGTCAGGGAAGCCAGCAAGTGGGGAAATTCACAACAAAGAAAAGGGCTGACGGGTACTCGGAGAGCACCCAGACAAGTTGGTACTGCCACGCCTCCCAAATCCCGCGTCCCCATCTGAGCTGCACTGCAGCAATCCCTGGGGACGCGTGGGCTGATCCTTCAGCACCTGCCCCGCCCCCAGTCCACACATGGCAGGGCCCCGCACCCACCACTGCTGCTACAGCGCCTCTCAGGAGGGCCTTCTGTTGAGCTTGTCCAGCAGAGCTCATGGGAAATTCTTCAAAATGCAAAGGTGGACACCTTTTTTTAAAAAGTCCGTTTTTCAACTGGTGAACAAAGGACATAATTCTAAGAAACTAATATTAATCAGTTTTGTTCACCTCAAACCCAAGCTAACCACGAGCAAAATGGCTGAGTTTCATCTTGAATCTTCCCTACCCACAAAAATAAACAAGACTGCCACGATCTGAAAGTGAAGACAGGGGTGCTTGTGATTAGCAAAGACCCCAGGGCCAAGCCAAGAGACTTCAAGAAATCAAAGGTTTGTATTCGTTCCTGTCCTTACCCATACGCACACGTCTGCTAATGTCACTAATACCAAGTGGGGCAGTCATGAAATATGCTATCTTAACACAAACACTGATGGCAAGACACACCCACCAAGGGCCACGCACTGCGAACACCACCCCAAAGCAAAACACTGAAATGTCTTAAGTCTCCAAAACAACAGTAATTAAACAAACAAAAAGTTTACAAAATGAAGTGTTGTCTATCAACTGCAAATCATTACAAAAACCGTGTATTTCTACAAAGCACAATATCTAAAGCTTGTCAATTATTTTACAACATCCTAGACATAAGAGCCCACCTTACAGAGCCTAGGAGAATGGCTCAGTAGGTAATCCGTTTATCTTGTCTGCAAACACTCTCAAGTTTCAGATAATCTGGATGAGAAATAAAGCCGACTTCCCTGACCATCAAGATCCTTACACTCAAATTAAACAAACAAAATAATCCTTAAGTGCTTCCAGTTATTAAAAAAACAGTGCTGATAATGGTGCCCAAGAAAGTGCCAAGTGATTTAATACCAGTATACATAGCATTTCCACCCCTGGATCTACGCAGATTGGAGCGATTCCGCTGGTGAGAATGTGGGGAGGCCTGTGTGAGCGCGGCTCACGGCCTCAGAAGGGATGGAGCCACAACGGGCCTTTATGAGACAGAAACAGGCAAAGCAGAGGAGATGGTTCAGCCCCCCTGACTGATGAGAGATCAGGCCACAGTGCCAGACAGCCCCCAGGCTCCAATCAAGTCGCTGTCAGGTCTCTGCATTTCAGAAATCCCACTTCTCACACAATCCTCCTGAGAGGTTCACAACCATGGCCTAATGGATATTTTACATAAAAGCGAATGCAAATATACAAATTTTAACATCCTTCCTTGCTCACTAATACGAGAATGTAAGAGAATAGGTTAAGATGATTTGGAGTCTGTCACATATAAGCATGGTACCTCTGTTAGCAAGCAGTTAGTCTTTAAGGCCTATGATTCTACTATTTCTTTAAAATGAAATGTACAAGGCATTAATCTCTAAAAAAATGGCAACTGCAAGGTGCTGCCATTTTTTCTTGGTTTTAGTATAAAACAGACCGGGATCCTTCCTAGTCTATAGGATAATACATGTTCCCTTTGAAACACAGATTTATACACACAGTCCACACATCAGTGCTCATGTACACAGGCACGAACTCAGAATGACTTGGAAAGAAACATTCTCGGCTCCAGTGAAATATTTCAAAGCAAAATGTCAAGCCTCCTGCGACTTCCTGATGTGTACTGTATTCAAAAGGAGAGCATCATGAGCTCTCACAGGTCTGATTGTCTCCTACATGGATTTTCATGTCACAGGTTTCATTTAAAACTTATGTTAGTAACGGCCTGGATTTCCTGGTGTCTGCCGGAATCTTAGAGCCATACTCTCCCCCTCAGACAAACCCCACTGGATCCTTTCATAACGGCAAAGAAGCCAGCCTGGCAGCACCCTAGAAACCAATCTTTTCTGGCAGCCTATCCATCTATCAGAGAAGTAGTTTCCAGAAGCCAACAGCTTCAAACGGAGTACATCTACCACAAGCAACAGGTCAAAACACGACTTCCCCGGGAACAGGCTCCACCAAGGCCAAGCAATGAGATCTAGCGCCTTTTCTGTCTTGTTCAGCACGCCACTGCCCGCAAGCATTCTAGATGCTGAAATGGAAACTCCAATCTCAGGAAACCAAGTTCTGATGATATGAGAGGGCATAACAGGGCCCCAAGACCCAGGCAATGCTGGTGTAAAACTGGTAGCACAATATTTACCTGTTGACTTTAAACCAGGAAGAAAAATTAGCAAAAAACAAAACAAAACAAAAACAAAAAACTTTCCATGGGACTCCTTCTCAGGTCAGAGGACATGCCACTGACAGTCAACTCCAGCTATCTTCTCTATGATGGACTGAATAATTACCTACTCAGTCTGTTTTGGAAATACCATCACACCCTTGGCTGGCACGCTGGGTCATGAACAGCCTGTGGTTGTATACAGAGACCCGCAGGCCCCTCCACACTTGTTTGTGCACCTAAGAATGCAAACTCAGCACACGTCTGCGGGTATATAGAATGGACACCAAAAAAATGAAGTGATAAACAGAGCAGAGCTAGCATGAAAAGTATTCCTGCTGAAGCTGAAGAGTTACTGGTGAAAAACTTAAAAATGAACACATGGGAACTACCTGAATAATAAAGCTACCTGAAATTGTCTTGAAGCGAGTGGTAAAATACAAGGCCAAAGTTAAGAGTCATAGCCAAAAGGTCATGGAAAATACTGACCAAGGAAAAAACAGCTGCACCAAAACAAACTTATCTCTAAACAACATTTAAGGATGTGGGCGGCGGCAGCGTGGTGGTGTTAGGGTGTTGGGGCAGCTCCTGCGATGGACAGAGCTGGAGCCGGAGCAAACGAAAGAGCAGACACACAAGAATGAACCCCCCACGGCTGGCTCCCTTCCAAGGCACCTGGAGTGCGCAACGGGAGATCCAAAGCTGACATTTGGCACCAATGTGCCCTCACCCCCACCACAGGGGAAAAAACGAAGACATGGCACCCCAAAACCAAAACAATCACTTTCCCTATCCCCACCTCAGAGCCTGAATCCCCAGACGCTCCCCCTGCAGCAGCAATGTCAGAGACATGCAGCTGCTGCACAGCCCACCCAGGAACACACACCTCCTGCAACCGCTGGAAGACAGCGGAGCAGGAGGCAGAGAAACTCAATACGCACTGAAATAAATTTTTTAATTTAAAAAAAAAAAATTGAGAGCAAGATTTCAAAATGAGAAAGAGAGAAAGGGAGAGAGGGGAGAGCGAGCGCTTCCATCTGCTAGTTCACCATCCAAATGCCTGTAATAGCCAGGGCTGGGCCAGCCTGAAGCCAGAAGCCAGGAAACTCCATCCAGGTTTTCCATGTGGGTGGCAGGAACTCTAACACTTGGGTTATTATCTGCTGCTTCCCTGACAAGACAGCAGGAAGCTCAGAAGTTGATGTGGGACTTAATCCCAGGCCACCTGATATGGACGCAGGTGTCTCAAGTGGCAGCTTAGCCCACTGCTCCACAGTGCCCACTCCTCAACTTATCTTTTAACTCCATTTTCTGTGAATTTTTTGGAAGTTCTCTCATATTAATAACTGCCAATATTTACTTTTATGCCTCCCTTCATTTGTTTATGAAACGTGAAGTTTGGAAACTTTGCTGATTCAAGTGTGTGCTGAAGAAGACTGGAGCCTGCTCGCTTCCCTCAGCGACACTGGGTGTCTCAGACTGTGCTCTACTCACTAGAAACCCAGAGTGACCTTCTAGAATTTTGCCATCAGCATCCTAGGAACTCTGAGATCAGGATAATACAGCGTGTGCTGCCTGAGTGCAGCAGCCGATACTGGCACCAGAATGCCAAGCCTCTGATTTAATGGAGCACCCGGTCCTGCCTTTCTGGATGTCTAACATAGTATGTAAACCTTCACAGAATTTTTCCAGTTTAAAAAAAAATCCAGTACTCTATGTGGGCTCAAGTGCTAACCTTTCCCATTGACATTTGAAAAAACAAATTACGCTTAGTATTTTAATACATTCTGAAATGTGAAATTGAACTTACATTTTAATCTTAAGACTCTGGTTGACCTTGAGGGCCAGAGTCTTCAATTCAAACACACACAACACCTGACACAACAGAAGTGCTGGGACAAACCACTTTAAACAAGGATTGCTGAAGTCAAGCACAAGGCCTTCATCTTGTTTTTAAAAACCAGCACAGGAACAAGACAAAGATGACTTTAGAAACGCCAGGAAGATTCACCTGCCAGCGACACACCGCAGTGGTTTCCTGACACAGGCGTCCCTCCTCAGTTCCTAGGTGGGGACCTGGCCCCGCAAATGCCATCAACCCAAGGCTTTTCCAGGTCTCCTGGGTGCCAACCATCTTCTAGCTGCAGCTGAGTGGCCAGGGAAAGCCGGGGCATCTTAGAAAATGCTGGAAAACCCCTGGCAACCCACTCCTCTTTAACCTGGGCCACTGCTGCCCAACGGCCGCTCCTCCCAGTGGTGACTACCAGCAAACACGCATCTCTCCAGGGAAGACAGAGCTCGAGCTCAGATGCTGAGAATGCTCCGGGTACTCAGAAGACTATGGAGCTGACTTTCCAGGAAGGAGGTAGTCTGCAAATGGAACTGTCTGCCTCAGACACCCAAGTGAAGGCTGTAAACTTTAAAAAGACACACGCACGCGCGCACATGTACACACACACACACTCATCTCAAAAAGAGCAATTTTCATCAACTCCTAAGGCCTCACGCCTCTTAGGCATCAGCTGCAGGTTTACAGAAAGGGCTCCCTAAATCTGGTTCCCAGGAGGCTGCTTGGCCTGAGTGCTAATGGTGCCCTGCTTCAAGGCACCTCTATGCTGAGACAGTTAATCAGCAAAGACATCATCTATGAAAACAAACCAATGGCTTTTCTCCTTTAATTCAAAAAGATAAACACTTTTGTGTATTCAAATTTAAAACATCTAGTTACATCGACCCATCAATATTTACCTATCCAAAATACAAAATGCTAATCTAAAAAAATGTTTCTTCCAAAGTGCTGTGAGAGCTCTAATTCCAAGCAGGCAAGCAAGCTAATTAATTCATTCAGTACAGGGAGAAAGTATGGAGCATCTGCTCTCCACCAGTCCTGACGGTCTCTCAATATTACTATTGCACATTTCAAGAACAGAACTTTGGGCTGATGACCACGCATGAGCAGTCACAGCAGCTCACTGAGTACTTCTACTAGTGACCAGACCTGGAGACTTCACCAGCAGCACGTCTACATGGCGTAACAATGAACTTGAAGTGAACACTGTGCAAGACACTGGTTTGTACCAGTGTCATTTTAAGCCCTTAAGAACTGACTTATTCATTCTGTTTAGTTCGTGTGACTCAAGGAGAGGACTAAAAAGACTAATTTGATGGACAGGTCATGGTGATGACAGGATTTGATAATGGATTTCAAAGCAAAATGTTCAAAAGACAACACTGAAATATTGCTATCAGTTCAGAGTGGGGCTCAACAAAGCTGTGTGCATCTGGCAGACTTCTAGTTGGGACGAGTCTACAACTGTGGTGGTGCAGAGAGGACTACACCTGCCCTGCATCACAAGCCAACCCCAAGGCCACACTCTTCCCCAATTATTAACAAAACAGGGTTCACAAGAAATAAGCCAGCTTTACCCCCCTACTGACCACCTCTTTAAAATGGCTACAGCCTTTAGCAACCTTACATTTCAAAGGAAAGATGACAAATATGCCACAGGAAATGACAGCACGTCAGTAGAAAGGCGAGATTCCTTCACTCTGGGTATTTCTAACCAAGAAAAGCTCCACATGCTGCTTCCAATCAGGCAACTAGATCTGTCATTCTCAACACTTGAACACCCAAGTTCATCTTCCAAAAAGGCCCCATTTCCTAGGGTGCATGCCATGTGGGCGTCATCAGACCACTCTCGGAGAACAGGGAACCCTTCTGGGCTATGTATGGGGTCCCATGTTCTCAATGGAGCTTCCAAAAACTGTCTTAAAACCCCAGGTTTAGAAATCTTCTGATACTGAAATACACTAGCTCCCTGCACTGTTGACAGGCCCAGACTATAGTCTGCAGCTGGGAGACCCACCTTAAGTCAATGTAAACCAGTTGCCTTCCCCGGGTGTCAGCTGCTCAAGGCGCATGGCACAGTGGGAGGAGCTTCCTAGGTGTGCCTTGAATGGAGGACTCAGGATGGCTCTTGCTTCCACTGCGCATGAGCAGCTCATCTGCAGTCATTCACCAGAGCCCACTTAGTCTTAAAGATGCAGCCCATTTCATCTAACTGCTATTTGTTTAAATAACAGACTCTAAGTATAACTTTTTTCCTGTCCAGAGGTCCCAACAGCCAGGAATGAATAACTTTGTTCTTGATCATTCCCGCAAAGCATAGCTGCTAAACTCCACTAAAGGTTACTTTAGCACAAAGCTCACAATATTTAAAAACAAAAGAAAAATGGAAGGGGAAGGTGGAGTTTGAGCTCCAATTAAGGCATTTTTATACATAGTCCTCTTGAGTTCTAGGCAAAGGGAATCCTATAAAGGTGTCCCATGGGGAACGGTCTCTCGTCAGCACTGCCGAACACCAGCTGCTCACTTCAAAGGCAATCCTGCTGAGTGTCCCTCGGTTTCTTTGCTTCATGGTTCTCATTCCTTGAGTGCATAGGCTATGTCTTCTGTAGATCTGGGGAAAACGGGCCAGGCGTGGAGGGTCCATCCAGCCCAGAGAGAGTGAAGGGCCCATGAGTATTCAGTACAGAAGGAAACTGAAAAAAGAAAATACATTAGTGCCTTCATCATTCACCTCCACCTTCCCTCTCATGTCCTTAGTCCTCCCTGAAGCAGAAGCCGACCACACGGTGCAGCCCCCACAGGACAAACGCAGTAACTGCTTGAGGGAAGAACAGCATGTCAGAGCACGAACCATTTGCCTTTTCCGTTAAATATGAACGCCCTCCAAGTAGCAGCAACAAAAACAGGTGACAGCTCCCCGTTGCATCCACAAGTACACAGGTTTACTTTGAAGCTCAAATAAAGACTGTTAAAAACTAAGCAGTAATGTGCACTACCTGGTGTATCCAGCAATAAAGCAGATCATGAAGCCCCCAAAAAACAAAAAGAGTTACAGTGTGCCTGCCCTAGAAAACACTTCCCCAACCACTTATCCTGACCAACCCCACATGGCGAGTTGAGGCTGAAGCTACAGGAGTGTTACAACTCAGCTTAAGGTCTCAGATCCTGCTAAGCCCTATCACCTGCAGACAAGAGGTAATGAGAAATCCAAAAGTGAAATATGCACAATTCTCAGTACTCTTTCCCTTGAGTAACAGAATGATTTTTGTAACCAAACAACACACACACAAAAAAAACCAGAAAAGTTAAATTATAAAATTTAAGAAAATTTCTCAGAGAGAGTCACCTGTACTAAGTGAATGATTCAACCACAAAAAAAATCTACAAGTTACAAAGTCTATTTTTTTGGAACAAAATAATGACTACATTCATTAGGAACTGCAAGACAACATGATACTCATTTGAAAACATATATACTTACAAAGTTCTCAAATATAAGTCCTGAATAAAGAGTAAATATGAATATTTGACATACCATTAGTGAGACTTTATTGTTCTCAATCCCAAATAAGAGGAAGAAGCCTATTGTGGAAATTTTCTACGTATGTGTGTGTGTGTGTGTGCACCTGTATAAGCAGGCAAGGCAAAACGCTTATGGGAAATTATTTTGGGAGCAGGAGATTGAAACAGCAGTTGTATAGGCACTTGAGGTGCCTATGTTCCATATTGGAGAGCCTGGCTCAACTCCTGGCCATTCCTCTTTCAATCCAGCTCTCTGCTAATGCATACCCTGCAAGGTACCAGTACTTGGGCTCCTCACACCCGTGTGGAAGGCCTGGACTGAACTCCAGGTTCCTGATGTGTCTGACCCAGTCCTAGTTATTGTGGGTGTTTAGAAAGTAAACTGGCGAACAGAAGATAGCTTTCTCTCTGCTTTTCAAATAAAAATTAAGAACTTCCTAAGTAAGTCTTCTTACAAAAAAGATCTACTTTTGTGCAAAAACATTCTGAATGCCATGTAATCTTTTGAGAGATCCACTCCCACCTGCTGGTTTACTTCTTGAGTCTGGGTCTCTCCCACATGCTCAGCAAGGCTGGAAAACTGGACCCTGATGCTTCCCAGGGTGTACGTCAACAAGCAGGTGGAACGGGGAGCAGAACACAGTCAAATCCAGACTCTGACCCAGCAACCCAAGCAGCACCCTACTGCGTGCCAAAGGCTCCGCCTATTTTTAAGAGGCTTTACAGTTTCAAATGACAAATATATATATATATATATGTGCAACATGTTCCACAGTATTAATTGTTGCTCTGATGTAAATGCTGTTAACAGTGAATGAAAGGCAACCATCTGCTAATATTTACCTGAAGAGTGTGCTGGCAAAATTTTCCAAGAATATTAACTAACTTGAAAGTTTATACCTTTTTGTCTTCATTTAACATGCTCCACTGACAAACATCCGTGCCACTCACCTGGAAAAGTGTGTTAGCACCTTGCAACCTGGCTGGACTCAGGGGAGCAACAGGGCTGAGGGTGCTCCAGAAGTGGATACTGGACAGCAGCGGGCTCGGGGTCAGGAGGATGGGGGTCTGCGACACATAAAAAAAAAACAAACCCACTCAATGACCTGGCATGCGTATGCCTTATCCTTTAACAGCACAAACAGCCTGATCCTAAATCCTGTTCTACTCTCCCCTCTATTTAACTCCAAGCCTGAAATTTTGTCACAATGAAAGCAAAAAAAGAAATAAACACAAATAAATAAAACCACCAAAAAACTCAGAAATTATGTTTACAACCAAAGAACATAAAGATCAAAATAACTACCTTTTCAGCCAACTTTTATATAGTGTCTCCCAAACAGAACACCCAGCCAGTACCCAGATCCAGGAGGCCGGGCAGCAGCCGTGGCCTGGTGAGCAGATGGTCTGTGAGAGATTTCTGAGCCGTTGCCAGCAGGTCAATGGAGAGAGAGACTACTCTGACTGCACAGGCTGCCCCTCAACATCACAGCAGTCACGATCCACCAGGACCTTAGCACCTGCTGCAATCTGACTGGACACACCAACAAGCCTTCTGAGGCTGTAAGGGGCAGGAGGGACATATCATTTTCTTTAGAAAAAGGTAGAAAAACTCGTTAAGTATTCAAACATCTTACAACCACGCTCCAACTCTTACTTGGGCAGTCCCAGTTGAGGTGAGGAACTGTGTCACTTTCACAGGGTCACATACCTTTCCAAGACAAACCTAAGTGACAGATAGTAAACCTGCAGGTACACATCCTGAATCTTCACACACATGAAGGACTGTAAAGGTAAAGAAATATAAACGATGAGAGTGAATTACCTGTGAGAAGAGGGCAGGTGTGAGAGACGCTGTAGGGAGAGAGGGACTTAGTATTCCCAGCGGGCTTGGATCACTGCCCGTGATTACCAGGGTGGGTGCCAGTTCCAACCCTTTGGGTTTCTTGGACCTTGATGAATTACTGGTTTTGTCCTTTTCTGGCAGAGCTGAATCCTGGTCTTTAGGCTCCAGCGACAGGTTTTCGGGAAGTGCCACAGGCTGAGAGGCCACTGAGTCAATATCGGTGTCGAGGTCTTCATTGGAACTCAGAGGGGGTGAAGGTGTGCTGCTGGGGGGCTCCTGCACGGCAGGGGAAAGGGCCAGGCCAGGTGCTGTGCTGGTGAACGTGGCCGGCACACTGAATGCAGAGCTTGGAGCCTCCAGAAATGGCAGTTTGGGGGAAACCAGCGTCTCCAGTGTTTGCATGGTTTCCTCTGAAGATGGAGAAATACCTGGGCCGGCTGGCACAGCCAGTTCACCTGGTGACTTTTTGGAAGGTGTTGTGACAAATTTGATGACAGATGCTGCTGGCTCCTGAGGAGACTTCTTCTCAGCCAATTTCTCAGCTGGATTCTCAATCTTCATTGATTTGGGAAGTCTCTTCGTGCAAGAGTTCAAAGAGTTGAGAGTGAAGGATGAATACAGCCCAGAGTGAATGTAGTCATTGCGACTGGAGGCCTTGGCAGCAGGCAGAGGGGGTTTCTCCTTCCCGCCGCTCTCCGTGTCCTTGGAACCACTGCTGACGTCACTGAAGCCCAAAATCTCAGAATCTCTCTCAATCCTGCCCACTGTCATCGGATCCATCTTCAAAATCTCTGGATAAGAGACAAACTTGTATACAAACTTCTGACCATTCACTTTTTTGATGATGTTCTGTAGGTGAATAAAATAAGCACTCTTACACTTTCCACATGAGGACAGCTCCCAGTGTCAGAATCATCTGAATTCACTGAGCCACACCAAACATACTCCCTACTATTCAGAGAAGTCAGGGCGGGAACATTGAAATTCCTTAACAATCCACCGCACTGCTACACAAAAGCAGATTGGAAGATTGGAAGGGCTTAACTATCTCAATCAAGTATCTGTAAAAAGTTAGAACTCACTGGACAGCAATCACCCAGTTCCAGACACAAGCCATACACATTCTAAGAAAAAAAAAAAAATTCGAGTATTGCATCTGCTAAGTCTTCCACTTCATTCAAAAACTGGGGCTGACATTGCGGCACAGAGGGTTACACCCCAGCTTGTAACACCCACATGCGACATCCAGTCCCAGCCCTGCTCCCAGCCCCGTCAATGTCGCAAGCTGGGAGGTAGAGAGACCTCAAGTGCTTCACTCCGGCAGACCTGGATGGAGCACCTGGATCCTGCCTGCAGTCCGCCCAACACCTGACTGTTGCAGACATGTGACGAGTAAATAAGCAAACACAGCTCTCTGTCCCTACCAAATAATTTTTTTTTTAAAGATTTATTTTTATTATTTTTTCATTGGAAAGGCGGATATACAGAGAGGAGAGACAGAGAGGAAGATCTTCCGTCCGATGATTCACTCCCCAAGTGAGCGCAACGGGCCAATACTATGCCGATCTGAAGCCAGGAGCCTCTTCTGGGTCTCCCACGCGGGTGCAGGTTCCCAAGGCTTTGGGCCATCCTCGACTGCTTTCCCAGGCCACAGGCAGGGAGCTGGAAGGGAAGCGGGGCTGCCGGGATTAGAACCGGTGCCCATATGGGATCCCGGGCGTGCAAGGCGAGGACCTTTAACCACTTGCGCTACCGCGCCGGGCCCCAAATAAACTTTTTAATAATTCCTTTTAAAATCTAACTGCTTCCTACTTCCTGTCATACTGGAAAGCTGGTAAGATTAACCACTTAAAAGGTAAAAGAGATCAAGATTTCAGCCTTCCATTTTAAGACTGTCATTTACAGCCATTTACTTCAGTGTCCAAGAGGCAGGAACACGCTAAATGGTATAATCTTCACTAAGAAATTGATTCTATGTATTATTTAAGGCTTGGTAATGAAAATTTTCTATAGGGCCTGACGCGGTGACCTAGCAGCTAAAGTCCTTGCCCTGTACGCTGATTCTAATCCCGGCAGCTCCATTTCCCATCCAGCTCCCTGCTTGTGGCCTGGGAAAGCAGTTGAGGACGGCCCAAAGCTTTGGGACCCTGCACTCGCGTGGGAGGCCCAGATGGGGTTCCTGGCTCCTGGCTTCAGATCCGCGTAGTACTGACTATTGCGCTCACTTTGGGAGTGATTCAACAGACAGAAGATCTTCCTCTCTGTCTTCCTTCTCTCTGTATATCTGACTTTGTAATAAGAAATAAGTCTTTAAAATAAAAAAGAAAGAAAATTTTCTATGCTGAGGGCCAATCAGATATTTATTCCATTATTCAAACGCCATATGAAATGATCGATTTAAAAATTAACCTGCTTGAGGTTGAATTCTTAATTTAATAAGGGGTTAAGCTTGTGATTACAAAAGTACTTTGAAAGTATGTCATTAGAAAAATTAAAAAATAAGGAAGGAGGAGTAAAGATGAGCACTGGGCACATGGTACAAGTACCATGATGGTTTTTTTTTTTTTTTAACTTACTTAAGATCTACTTTATTGGAAAGTCAGATTTACAGAGAGGAGAGACAAACAGAAAGATCTTCCTTTCACTGGTTTACTCCCTAAGTGGCCACAACGGCCAAAGCTGAGCTGATCCCAGTAGCATCTTCTGGGCCTCCCACGCGCGTGCAGGGTCCCAAGGCTTTGGACCATCCTCTACTGCTTTCCCAGGCCACAAGCAGGAAAGGCAAGGATTTAGTCACTAGGTTACTGTGCCGGGCCCTATCATTATGTCTTTCAAAGCTTTATGAATGAAACATATAAAATTTGTTCCTTTTCTGCAATTTTTAAAAATAAATGAATAAATGAGCCTGCTACAAATTTATCGTATTTTGAGTCCTTGGCCTATGGTTGTTGCTTGGCAGGGCTGGACAAAATGATTTCACTGGCTTAATGCTGACCACAGTCCAGACATCTCTGCTGAGGTACTGCTTCGTAGTTCCTGATTAAGCTAAAACTAAAAGTTTTAATAAAGCCATACAAATAACTGTACAAGAGCTAGGATACAGTGTAGTGGCTAAATCGCCACTTGGGACATTACTATCCCATACCAGCTCTGTTTCCAGTTCTAGCTTCTTGCTACTGTACACTCTAGGAGGCAGTGGTGATGGCTTAAGCCACTCACACAAGATCACAATGGAGTTCCTGGCTGCTTCCCGGTCCAGACTTAGTTGGTGGGAATCTGCGGGGCGGGGGGAGCAGCAGGCAGAAGATCTCTGTCTCTACCTCCGTCTCTCTCATCCCCTATCCCTCTGCCTTCCAAATGAAATACACAAAGATGGAAAGCAATTTCCTTTTCAAAATTTGTTTTTATTTATTAGCCACAGATAGAGAGAGAGAACATGTTCCCAATCACCATCTCACTGCACCAAATGTTGTGAAGTAGGGACTGGTTAAAGCTAAAACCAGGCACCAGATATTAATCCACGGGACTGTGCCGTGGCATAGCCTTCGGTGTCAGCGTTCCATAGCGGCCAGTTTGAGTCACAGCTGCTCTATTTCTGCTCCAGCTTCCTACTAGTGTGCTGGCAAAGCACTGGAAGATGGCTCCCACACCCACATGGGAAACCTAAAAGAGGCTCTTGGCTTCAGACCAGCCCAGGGTCCACCCTTGTGGGATCTGGGGAGTCAGTCAGCAAACAGAAGATCTCTTTCTCTCCTTCCCTCTCTCTTTCAAATAAAATGCATATAAATTTTTAAAAAACAAAAACAAACAAACAAACAAAAAAACAGGTCTCGCACCTGAGTGGCAGGGAGCATCAGCATCAGCAGGAAGCTAGTCAAAAACCAGAGCTCCAACTTAGGATGTGTCCTAGCCAGCAGCCAAAACCAGAGACGAACTGCTTCCTCCAGCACAACTCTTACAGAAACTTACAAAATACACATAAATTTATTTATCCTTGAGAATTTCCAAATTTCTTTTCTTTCAAACACAACTGCAATTAGGAATAAAATATGCACACACAGAATAGCTAATGGAGTAAGAGTTTGTAGAGCTGTTAACTGGAACACTGATGCCTTGTATCCTAACTCCCAATGGCTGAGGCTCTATTAAAATAAACTGGATTAGAAAAACAAACCACCTCAACAGGAAGGAGTTACTTCTTGAGGTCTGTTTGCATCTGAGCAACCTCAGGTTATGTATTACCTTTACATAGTAATATCTGAGGGCTCGGCTGAGCTTGTCGTAATTCATGGTCGGCTTGTTCTTGCGGATCCCCCAGAGACGAGCTACCTCCTCCGCCTGTAGAAGCTTGAACTCCCCATCATTGGATGTCCAGCAGATCACATCCTTATTCTGTGGATCCTGCAGGAGCTGGAGCAGGAACTGCCACAGGGTGACAGCACTGTCCATAGCAGCGGGCTGCAGGAACACAAACACACATTCAATGACGTGAGCAACAGTACTAACGCCAACACTGCGTGTCAGGCACTGTGAGCACTCCGCGTCCACACACTCAGGTCACCCACACAGCACTACTCCAAAGTGGTTACCAGGGCATCCTCATTTTAAGGCAGACACTGGGGATCCAGTCCTTGAACAAGTCTGACACGCTGCTTAAGCAAATGCTGCTCAAGCAAAGTCACAGGCAACAAGTAGCATACAAGGAAGACAAAGTTACTTCCATGTGTTACAGGGGCAGTCTGGTGGACTGCCAATCACCACACTGTTACTGCACCATAAAATCCCATCACTCAGGGGCTGGCACTGTGGTGTAGCAGGTAAAGTAGCATCTGTGACACTGGCATCTCATGCAAGTGCCAATTCAAGTCCCAACCCGTACATTCCTGATCCGGATCCCTGCTAATGGCCTGGGAAAGGCAGTGGAAGATGGTTTCAGTGGGGCCATCTGGGAAGTGCACTGGGTGAATCTCCTGGCTTCAGCCTGGCCCAGCTCCAACCACTGCACCATCTGAGTGGGAGTAAACCAGCACATGTAAAATCTGTCCTCACTCTGTGTAACTGTTTCAAATAATTCTTTAATAATAAAGATAAACACATTAAAAAAAAAAAACCCTCATCACCCAATTCTCTCAAGAAGTCATCATTTCAAGGCCAGCACTATGGTGTCAAAGGTGGAGTTGCCACCTACAATGCCAGCATCTACTATAAACACCAGTTGGCGTCTACTTGCTTTGCTTCCAATCCAGCTCCCAGCTAACGTGCCTGGAGAAGCAGAGAAAAATGGTTCAAGTCCTTGAGCCCGTGCCACCTACATGGGAGACCCAGAAAAACACTTGGCTTTGGCTTGGCCCCGCCCTGGCCATTGTAGTTTTCCTCTAACTCTGCTTTTCTGTGGCGTGGTATGGTGTGGCATGGCATGGCATGGCATGGCATGGCATGGGGGTCACACAGTGTCGTGTGTTTGTGTGTGCATGTATGTTTGCTTCCCAGTTGCCCAGATAAGTAAGGTACAGAATAACCTACTTCAACTCTGATACTTTTCAGTATCCTTTACCATAAATTTACACACAATTTGGCAGCACTAGATTTCAGGAAAATGGTTCCTGATTTCCTGACAAGTTCTGTCAGGCTTCTATCCTCACGAAATCCTCTTGCCTACATTCTCCCTTTGATTATCAAGACAAAAATTTGGGGGCCAGCCCTGTGGCATATAGCAGGTTTAGCCTCTGTCTCAGGCACTGGCATCGACACTGGTGCTGGTTCATGTCCCAGCTGTTTCACTTCCAATCCAGCTCCCCGCTAATGGCCTGGTAAAGCAACAAAGGATGGCCCAAGTGCTCGGGGCCCTGTAACCACATGGGAGACCCAAAGGAGGCCCCCCCCCCCCAATTTCTGGCTTCAAACCGGTCCAGCTCTGGCTGTTCGTTACAGCCACTTGGGAGTGAACTACTAGCTAGAAGAACTCTGTCTCTCCTCTCCTCTTTATAATTCTGTCTTTCAGAGCAATAACAACACACGAACTGAAGAAAAATCCTTGAATATCTGAAGTTTTATCATCTCCCCGTTTGGACCAGAGTGTCTCAATTGCAGACCGGATGGTTCTCTGCCGTGGGGGCTAGCCATGCACCATTCGCCAGCATCCCTGCCTCCGCGGATTCCTCGAGGCCTGTCACAACAATCAAAATCCACCAGCTGCCAACATTCCCCTGGGCTCCAATCAGCCCGGCAAATTTAGGCGGAGCGGCAAGGAAATGATGTCACAAAGGTATTTTCCTCATAGAACCTCAACTCATCTTTCAGCAGCAAGAATCCTTCCAGGCAGAAACCCTGGCCAAACAATGAGCCTGTCCTAGGAAGCCAGTGACTCAACACCTTCGCTGGCACACAAACAACTCCTTCCTTTCTCCAGGAATGCAATCTCACTGGGCCACAGGAGTTCAAAAACAAATCAGACCAATGCCATTCAAGTACTACCCACTCAGGTCAGTCGGACTACGTGACAACTTACAACTGCTGTGCTGCAAACAATACTATCCAGTGAGAACGCAATCCCCAACATGGAAGAAAACATTTTAAAATCATGAATCTCAAAAGGAATTTCCACCCAAAATAAGGAAAGAACTTCAAAACAATTTATTTATGTATTTGAAAGGCAGAATTACAGAAAGAGAATTTTCCATCCACTGGTTCACTCCCTAATGACAACAAGGGCTGGAGCTGGGCCAGTTCAAAACCAGGAGCTTCTTCAGAGTCTCCATGAGTGGTACAGGAGCCCAGGGTCTCAGGCCATGCTCTGCTGCTTTCCCAGGTACATCAGCAAGGAGCTTTATAGAGAGGGGAGCAGCTGGATGGGATGCGGTGCTGCGGGCAGCAGCTTTACCTGCTTTGCCACAGCACCACCAGCCCCCAAAAGAACTCCTACAACAACAAATTAAAAATTGGAAAAGGATTTGAAAATATTTCGCGTGGCCCGGCGCAGTGGCACAGTGGTTAAGGTCCTCGCCTTGCACGCCCGGGATCCCATATGGGCGCCGGTTCTATCCCGGCAGCCTCGCTTCCCTTCCAGCTCCCTGCCCGTGGCCCGAGAAAGCAGTCGAGGATGGCCCAAGGCTTTGGGACCCTGCACCCGCGTGGGAGACCCAGAAGAGGCTCCCGGCTTCGGATCGGCATAGTATCGACCGTTGTGCTCACTTGGGGAGTGAATCATCGGACGGACGATCTTCCTCTCTGTCTTCTCCTCTCTCTATATCCGCCTTTCCAATAAAACATAATAAATCTTTAAAAAAAAATTTCACTAAATAAAAAAAATAGATAACTACTAAGTATTCTAAAAGGCTCAGTATCATTAATGATTAGGGAAATGAAAATCAAAACCACTTAAGAAATCATCTTCTACTCACAAGGATGACTGCAGCCAGACAAGTAACAAGTGTTGTCAAGGTGATGGACAGATAGAAAAATTCCTCTCCTGGATGTACACCCAAGAGAAATGAAAACATACACTCACATAAATCTTTTTTACATAAGATTTATTTGTTTGCTTATGTATTTATTTGACTTAAAGTCAGTATTACAGAGAGATTGGGGGGGGGGGGGGGGGGAGGAGACAATCTTTCATTCACTGGTACACTCTCCAAATGGCTGCCAAAGTCAGGGCTGGGCCAGGCCGAAGCCAGGAAGGAGCTTCTTCCAGGTCTTCCACGTAGTTGCAGGGCCCAAGCACTTGGAGTATACTCTGCTGCTTTCACAGGCACACTAGCAGGGAGCTGGATCAGAAGTAGAGAAGCTGGGATTTGAACCAGTGCTGAATCAGTTTAACCCGTTGTGCTACAGCATGGCCCCCACCATCAATATTCACAGCAGAATTACTAATAACAACAATAAAGGAATAACCGATGAGTGGACAAATCAAATCTGGTGCATGGAGTCACAAACAGGAATGAAGTACTGACACAACAGGGATGGAGAGACCTTGCCAACACTACATGAGTGAAAAACCAGTCACAACAACAAAACCAAAAGCATGATCCCATTCATATGAAATATCCAGAATAGGCAAATACAAACACAGAAAGAGACCACTGGCTGAGAACTGAGGTGAGGAATAAGGAATGACAAGTGGGCCCGGCGCGGTGGCGCAGTGGTTAAGGTCCTCGCCTTGCATGCCCAGGATCCCATATGGGCGCCGGTTCTAATCCCGGCAGCCCCGCTTCCCATCCAGCTCCCTGCTTGTGGCCTGGGAAAGCAGTCGAGGACGGCCCAAAGCCTTGGGAACCTGCACCCGTGCAGGAGACCCGGAAGAGGTTCCTGGCTTCGGATCGGCATAGCATCGACCGTTGTGCTCACTTGGGGAGTGAATCATCGGACGGAAGATCTTCCTCTGTCTCTCCTCTCTGTATATCCGCCTTTCCAATAAAAATAAATAAATCTTAAAAAAAAAAAAGGAATGACAAGTGACAGGACAGTTTCTTTTCATGATGTTGAAAATACATATTCTCAGAAATATGTTCATTGGACAGGCACAGAGAGAAAAGACAGAGTGTGCTCCCACCTGCTGGTTCATTCTCCAAATGCTGTCTGCGATGCCAGCATCTCATTCGAGCACTGGTTCATGTCCTGGCTGTTCCTAACGGTCTGGCAAAAGCAGCAGCAGACAGGCCAAATGTTTGGGCCCCTGCCACCCCTGTCGAACACCAAGTTGAAGCTCCTGACTCCCAACTTCAGCCTGGCCCACAATGGCTGCTGTAGCCCTCTGGGAAATGAAGCAGCAAGTGGAAGATCTGTCTCCTTTTCTCTATCTCCCATCTCTCTGTCACTCTTTCACAACAATCTTTCTTTCTTTCAAAATAAACAAACATGTTCGAAATAAACCCTACTACAACCAGTATCAGAAAACCTGGCCCAAGAAGACTAATTCCAACAGAAAACACATAGGTGGGGGGTCATTCAGGGTCACCCACACTTGCTCCACTAAGGGCAGCAACAAGGACAGCAGCAGAAATGCTCATGTCCCGGACACTTTCCTGAACTCAAAACGCTCTCCAGGATACTTCAAGGATGCCACCTGCACAGAACTGACACCCAGCATGAGGAAGTGAGATGACAAACAGTGGAAATGCAGGCCTTGAATCCAAGCTTCTCTTGAGGGTAGGACAAACGCTTTCACTTCACCAGCTCAGTGTCAAGAGGGATGCATGGCACACTCAGTGACAATAACCCACAGAGTATCTCCTTAATGCCAAGCAGCCACACCTGCTAAAAAAGTTACAGTCTCATTAAAGCTACAATAAAATATTTATGTATTTGAAAGGCAGAGAGAGCAAGAGAAGAGGCAATCTTCCATGCACTGATCCACTCCCCATATGCCTGCAATGGCTGGGCTCCTCACTTCAAGCGGGTCTTTTACGTAAGTAGCACAGACTCAAATACTTGGACCTGTGGTGAGGTAGGCAGCTTAGTTCAGGGTCACAGCTTGGAAGTCACTCCCCCACCACCTAGGTGTTCCCTCCCGCCCACCTGTGACTCTCACCTATCACCTGAGAGGGGGCGGTATTGAGTGTAACCACTCCCCTTACAAGCCCCTATGATAAGGAAGGGCTCTCTTGGTCCTGTGCTCCTGCTGCTCTGGCACTCTGCCTCTTGGCCTCCCCAGCACCTCTGAGGACAGGCATTCCCCGAGCACGGCCCCTCTGTGTCTGTATTCCTCACCCTCTGTTTACCACTTGGATGGGACAATGAAGATAGCAATGCTTAAATGCTTTGTATTTCTTTCTTTTTTTTTAAGATTTATTTTTTTTTTATTACAAAGTCAGATATACAGAGAGGAGAGACAGAGAGGAAAATC